CCCTCGTCTTGGTCTGACTGTATATATTGTAACATGAATGTGGAGTAACCCTGCTATAATAAATGTCATGAGGAATAACTCACAGTCTTAGTCAATTAAACATCAATTAGGAGCCCAACTATTATACTAGTTAAAGTTTTAAATATATCATCAATTCATGTGAAAACACACTATAAATCATACATTTAAATATACGGCAAAGTCCAGTATAAATGTTTTGTTCACTACTGGTTTCCGCAAACGCGTGGCTCAACTTCAATCTCAATTGACTAGGATTGTCAGTATTCCTGCCCAAGGTTGGTCAGATGATAGCGATAAAAGTGGCACTAAGCACCAACAATCAATTGATCAATCTTGGATTTCCAACTCACCTTTCTTCAGAGATCTTATTTGAATTACATAATACATGTAATATTACATAATTAACTTGAAATGAATAAAATACAAAATCACATATATTAATGGGTAAAGGTAAGAAATTGAAGGTAAAAGAATTTACACAATAGACTATGACAATTGATTATATTCAGTACGTATAATACAAACGTGTAATTAGCAAATACATGTAGTTAAAACCTTTTCAGAGAACATGTCTGAATAATGAATTGAAAAAAGTAAATGAAAGGAAAGGATAATATAATTTGACACACGGATAAATGGAAAATTATCACTATCACAATTAATACTGTTGTGTCTCATTATAACTATATATTTGGATTATTCTCCAGGATTTGTCTACACATTTCTATGTCAATATGTTGTAGTGCTTTGATTTTTTATTGAAATAGTATTGTTTGATTTGGCATTTCAAATTTTTTATTCGATTGTCGGTGATGAGTCTTTTGTAAACGCTAGTCTGGCGTACAAAACTTTTGATGAATTTATTTTTTCTATTGTTGTTGATTACAACCCTTTGTCGGTTCTTTATCAATACAATAATTCATATGTCATAGAAATTTTTCCATAGATGAGAACCGCATGATGCCCTGTAGATTTTGTGCTATTTTGATGATGGATAATTATCCAATGATATTATCCCATATCTCCGTTTATAATGATGGATAATTATCCAATGATAGTATCCCATATCTCCGTTTATAATGATGGATAATTATCCAATGATATTATCCCATATCTCCGTTTATAATGATGGATAATTATCCAATGATATTATCCCATATCTCCGTTTATAATGATGGATAATTATCCAATGATATTATCCCATATCTCCGTTTATAATGATGGATAATTATCCAATGACATTATCCCATATCTCCGTTTATAATGATGGATAATTATCCAATGACATTATCCCATATCTCCGTTTATAATGATGGATAATTATCCAATGATAGTATCCCATATCTCCGTTTATAATGATGGATAATTATCCAATGATATTATCCCATATCTCCGTTTATAATGATGGATAATTATCCAATGATATTATCCCATATCTCCGTTTATAATGATGGATAATTATCCAATGATATTATTCCATATCTTCGTTTATAACTTTTTACTAATGATTAAATCATTTTTAAGTTGTTAAAAGTTTTCAAAAGGTTGCACTTAGTTCAGTGTGAATGTTTGCACTAAGTGTAATAGATAGCCGTTTCAAGAGGTCATTCTGTGTTGCATGTATATATACTAAACTTAGTCCTCAATGGACAAATGTTTATTTATGACGAAACATAAAGTATAATCGATAAACAAATATTTTTTTAAGTGAAAACTTTGCCTGCTAATTAACCTTCTGATTTTATTGGCGAAATTTACCGACCATGACCTTAATAAACTACCAACAATCATGAAGCACGTAAAAAAATAAGTGAGATGTATAATTTTTTTCAATATTTCCATGCGTTTCCATTTGTTGATTTAACCTATTCATAACAGTTGTTTAATTATTTGGTGTATTATTATTTTTTTTTGTTCTCTCAGAATCAATTAACACTATCTAACTCCCACGTTTGTTTACCTTTTCTTTCATCACGGGATTTCCCTTGCACTTGCGCTGTGCGGTTGCCGAAGTACTAGCAAGAGGTCTCGTGGTTAAGGTCACTGTATAGGAAGAGCTATCGGCAAATCAGAGTACGGGAAGACAATAATTCAATAGCAGTACATTTCTGAAGATTTTGATAAGATAACGGATTTGTTTTCTAAAGAAAGTCTGTGTATACATGTTTAATAGAAAAACTTAGCCCTTCAAGTATATGATACATATTCAACTTTTTATTTAATTTGAAGTATCATATGTCTTTAAATTTCCAACGATTTGAATTAAAAATAAACTTATATCAACTATCGTGAATAAGAACAGGTGCATTAACAGAAAAAAAGGTCTATATATACATTTATCTCTGGAAAAACCTTTTTGATCATTCCTCATAGAACTGGTTTGTGATAGTCATATTCCTGATTTAGAACAGTAAATACATTGAAATTTTAAAAATATATTTAAACAAAAGAAGTTAAAAGAGGACAAACCTATTTTTATCTTCAAAAGTCTGTCAGGTAAAAAATGTTTTTCCTCTATTATTCTTTTTATCTGATTCGAATATTATGCCAGCTTAGTTCATATTAATACGAGACGTGAATTCACAATATACATGTATATTATTTTTAGCTTAAGTTAAGTTATGCACTATCTACACATTGCATATTAATAATTTACATAATGATTTATATAATCGATTAAATTCATTTTATGTCTACTGAATACACTTTTGTTATTTATAAAATTATAATTTGAATTAATTGAATCTGGCAGTCCTTATTTGCTGCATTTTCTTTTTGATCAATTTATAAATTTGCACGACAATTAAGTAACCACAAAACTGAGACGGTGACATTCTCACAAGACTGATTAGGCGACTATCAAAAAATCCTCATTTCAAACTCAATGGTGACATTACCACTAGTCTGGTTGGCCGATTCTCAAAAGAACGAAACACAGACGGTTACATTCCAACCAAGAATGAAAACCACTGCATGCTCAATAGTTCATTTTTAGATATATTACATGTTTTGCCTGACGTCCAAGATGAAAGCTTACTTTTGCAACAAGAGACTAGCGCTAATGTTAAACTATCATATACTGTTTGTTGCTGTTTGCCTTATTTGTTTTCGGATATATTAGGCCGTTGGTTTTCATATTGTGTCATACTGGTGCCCTAAAAGATAACTATACGGTATAGGTTTGCTCTTTGTTGAACGCCGTACATGTCTTTAGTTGTTGACATCCTCGTCAGTTGGTCTCTGATGGATAGTTGTCTCTGGTGGATAGTTGTCTCTGGTGGATAGTTTTCTCTGATGGATAGTTGTCTCTGGTGGATAGTTGTCTCTAGTGGATAGTTGTCTCTGGTGGATAGTTGTCTCTGATGGGTAGTTGTCTCTGATGGATAGTTGTCTCTGGTGGATAGTTGTCTCTGACGGATAGTTGTCTCTGGTGGATAGTTGTCTCTGGGGGATAGTTGTCTCTGGTGGATAGTTGTCTCTGATGGATAGTTGTCTCTGGTGGATAGTTGTCTCTGGTGGATAGTTGTCTCTGATGGATAGTTGTCTCTGATGGATAGTTGTCTCTTTTGCAATAATACTACATCTTCTTAGTTTTATATCCTGCAATTCTTAAGGATAGATTTTTTTCGAGGAAATTAAAGTACACCTTAACAGTAATGTACTTTGACCTATAATGGTTTACTTTTACAAATTGTGACTTGGATGGAGAGTTGTCTCATTGGCACTCATACCACATCTTCTTATATCTATGTATTCCAGATACAAGAAAATGACTTTTCCATTAAATTCCTAATCGTATCAGTGTGAACATTTCCCATTGTTTTTTTTTTTTAATTTTTTGCTTAAATGTGATGCTTCTTTCACTCAGTAGTTTTGAGACTTGCTAAGTACATCTATAAAAAATCTGGGGGAAAAATATAAATATATAAAAAGTTAAAGACCACTCGACCTTTTCTTATTCAGTAATATGTGTATCCGTGGTTGTTGTGTGCGTATTGTTCACCGGTTATTAAGAAGGCACACATGGTGTGGTCTTCATCCGTCATTGAGATCATAACACACGCGCCATTCAAGCGAAAGCAAATATTAGACATAGCATGATACGTAACAGTTGACAGAAGAGGCATGCATTTCACACAAGAGCAAACAATTTGATAAGTACATCTCATTCGTATAGAACATATACCTTTTATTCATAATGGCTAATAAACTATTTAAAACAAGCATATCAGTACAAAGAAACACTATGTTTCAAAGGGTCTGATACAAACCTCTTTCCACATTTTTTTTTCTCTTGGCCTATCCTTTTCAATTATCTTATTTGGTAAAATTCATCCACAACGTTTGTGGTGTCGCCATTTTATATTGTTATTTAGGGTCATATTGCAAGCCAAGATTTCCAGTGGTAGTCCGGCCTTTATCCCGTTCGGCATACCTTACGGAACATACATATTATATAAGTTGTTAATTGTTTCTCGTCCTGAATATTATGAAATTGTTGCCTCTTTTTTTGAAAATATCTAAATGATTTCAGGGATAAATTGTGTTGCTATGTAGTCTCATTTTTGTTAGCTCCACACCCTTTTTATCATTATGACGCTGTCAAAATAGAAATCTGGGACTTTACTGTGTATATCGAAGCAACTGAATATTTAAATTCCGTAAGATTGATTGATTGTTGGTTGCTTAACGTCCAGTGGCAAATATTTCATGCATATTCAGGACGAAAATTCCGTAAGAAGGAGCTAACAGAAGATCACACAAAAAGGAAAGGAAAACTAACGATACAAAATTGAAAGAGTCAGAGTAATGTGAAAATAAGCACATTAGGACGTACACGACAATTATTTTCGTGTTATCAAATGTAATGCAAATGTTCCTTTTCCCATATATGATCAATATTATAATTCTATTTAATTGTTAAAACATACATGTATATACAGTCACATGCTTTTAAAAATAAGTGTTCTTCGAAGCGAAGCCATTCAAATCAATCAACAGGTAAACCAGGTGATATATAGAATAGTTAATAATGTAAAATCTATCCGAAGAAATGGCGCAAAGAATTCTTATAATTCTGGTGATTTTGTCGGTTTCATTTTTATTAGCAGAAAGTCATTGGTGGAGACATCGCAAACGACCGCGGTAAGTTGAACTGTGAATTGTTATTTTGTTGTTATTCGGTTTTTAGTTATTCCCTTGATAATTAAAAATCAATTTATTTTCTGTTGCTGTTTGCGGACGTTAACACATATACGTCATTTAGATACATAATGAAGCTAGCAAAACATAATTTTTATATAACTTTGTGAATTAAGAAACAAGTGAAGCACAGTACTCATGTGGAAATTGTATTGGAAAGACGATGGGGGATAATATACGCTAATCGGCTTAGCGCAAGTTCTTCCAATGCATTTACAGTGCTTAAAAAGAACTGTATGGATTACAGTAAAGAGAGAAGATGTCAATTAATGTCTATTAATTTTGATTGGTCCATACGATCCGAATTTTGACTAATTTTCATTAAATTATAATTGCACTATGGAATCATCAGTTTCAGGGTTAATGAACGATTTCTGCCCAGTAACGTGTAGATTTCATCATTGATAACATGATAACTAATTGCGCACTTTAAATAACAATTCCAAAGCCGACTGGTCCTTAAAGATTCTAACTGATCTACGATAAAACTCCAGACATGTAAACCCTGAATTATACTCCGGATTTGATAATAGAAATGATTTTTGTTACTTTCTCAACCAAATTCAGTATAAACTTTTCTTCTATAAGTAATGATAACTGCATTATTATTATTTTTCAAAGACGGGTTTTAATTCTTCTTCTTCTCTGTCTTGTGGTATACTACTTTGCATATTTTATTTCTACAGTAATATTGATCCTCTTTTATTTATAACTATCTACTAAGGTAGCAAGCATCCTGCTTAGTATATTGAATAAAAATCGATGTTAAAACAATAAATTATTGACACTAATAACACTATTTGTTGATTATATACACGATATAGGATACATTTCATTTATTTTACAGTAATTTCATTGATGTCATGCATATAAGTTTAGGTGAAAATACTTTCATGATAATAAATTGCAATTGGCTTCTAACTAGCTCCCTTTAACTGAGAGTGCTCTTAGATCGGTATTTCGTGTCTTTGTGTCTTTTGTCTTTTTGATAGTCTGTGTTTGTGCTTCGTCTCTATCTGATGAGTCAAGTCATACTGTGAGTTCTTATGTTGTGCTGTTTCATGTTAAGAGGGGTTGAGTGGTCAAAAACTGTAACTCAGTTGTAATCGTTGGTTGCTGTCTGTGATTTTTGTTATTCGTTTGTTGATTGTTTGTCATAAATAAGGCCGTTGGTTTTCTCATTTGAATTTTTTCACAAAGCCGTACGGTGACCTACATGTATACGCTTGTCTACATTCTCCACGTTCCTTGCTTAATTTTTAATATGTAATATTTTTTGTGTAAAAGATGTCATATAAAAACACTTATTACAAAATCATTGTCATTTTGATCTGCAGATTCAGTGTTCTTCAGTATTTGAGCTAACTTTCATATCTTTTTTCAATGTATATTTTTTCTTTATTCTCGCGTGTTACTATATTTTTGGTCTTCTAAATCAATGTTATATTTTTTAGTTACAAATACCCTGAATTTCATATAATTCATTGAATTGACTTTTATTTTTGTGCTTCAAAGTTATCCGTGAACGGTTTTGGCTACTCTGTGTACTAGTATGTCCTTTTGGATTTCATTTTGACAAAAGTCTCATGTTCTTGGTTCTCCAAACTATTGGTCTTCGAACGATCATATGAAGTTTATTATAGAAACACGCGTAATGCGAAATCTGAATCATTCTTATGTTTATTATAATTGTACAGTCTGTTCTTCTACGGATAGGGATCGGAAGTTCACTAATCTAAAACTCCTCATATTAAGATCTCTCTATATTGATTGGGTGAATGCTAATCGTTGAAGGTCGTTGGGTTACCATTAGAAATCCTTTTGGTGAACATGGTTTGCCGAACTGCTGTCACCAATGACGTCACTACATCTTTTCTATTATTCAGAGCTATAGTATGTTGTGACAAAATCAATTTTAGAAAAAAATGCTTTTAAAATCAACAAAGTTACAAAAGACGCGTTCAAACATATGCATATAGAACCAGTTGAGGTCTCCGCAAAACGAACTTTCCTCAGTCTGTTTTTTTCAATTAATCAACTAATTTATTTAACTATACCGAACGACACTTAACATTCAGACTGATCTAGAAAAGTGTCTCAACTGATGAACATTTTACCAAAACAACATATATGCCTTGTCTACGTATTCATTGTTCTCGTCAACTTATATATTTGTTTTTTATCTCCCCAAAAAACTAATAGGTGATTATCATTTGAATGAAGAAAGTTTGATGACGGATATGTTTTCATGTTTTACTCTATTAATGTTTTGTGTAAAATGTTTTTAACACCAAAGGTTCATGTTGGTAGCTCACAATGAAAGCGAATCAGAATGAAATTCAGATGATCTAGCATCCATTATGTAGAAAGTCCTATCCCAAATGGAGAATTCATTTACATTTGTTGTAGTGTACGTTCACTTATTGTTAGATTTTAACCTTTCAGATAATGTGGATTTTGTTTCCGAGAAACATATTTTCTGTCTATAACACCCTTTTGCAGTTTCATTATTTGAATAGCCATGATTGTATAATTACATAATCAGCTGAAACTATCATAACTTCCACACAAGGAAGTACAACTTCATTGGTTAATTAGATTTAAATCTAAGTCATGAAAAGAATGTTTCGTTATCCTGCAGTAGATTTAAGTTCAACTTTCAGAACGTGAAATTAAATTTTGAAACCAATTGAAATCGAAGGTCGGAGAAAGTATATCAATGTTTATATTCAATCAACTAGCCGATATTGTACTGCATTGTTTGCATGTCAATACTTAGTCACTATATATTGGATAATTTAATTGGCAAACAGGCTGTTTTATTCGACTCAGCTGTAACTTAACGCTGAACTTCTAACATTCTTATAACAAAACACGAGAAACGTATTTTTGTTTTGTTTTCTTCGTTCATATTTTGAAATTATTTAATCCTGAAACAGCAAAATTTTAAATTGGGAGCACACATATTACTCTGTATGTTAACTGAAGCAAAAAAAATCAAAAAATTGTTGAAACGGCAATCTTGTTAGTAAAGTTATGCAAAAAGAAACAATAATTTAAAACCTGTACACACAAAACCTTGATTTGTGCCAAGAGTCAATACCGAAAAAAAAATGAGATCAGGAATATCTGATTCCCAAAGTAATACCATGAAAATGAAATATGGCAGGCTGGTTTCATATAAGGGGTATTTATAAATTAGGTATTATATACCCAACCTTTTTATTTTATGGTTGTTTAATTCATAAATATGCAAACACGTAAAAGATTTGTCGCTAAAAATCTTTCTGTTCGGCTCAAAATAAACAGATTGATTAAGGTTCAAACTATATTTACATGACTGTGCGACACTTATAGTTAGATTGGTTTTGCACAATACCTTAACCCACGACCCTGTATTACTATAATTAAGTTGTTTAATTTATTGAAAAAAAAACTGGTAGGTGTTATGCCTCCATTAGAAGGTAGGATTAATTAGTATTTTGTTTTTCAATAAAAGTCTAATATAAGACACCGAAAGCTATTGTCGGTACTGAATGGTAGTGTATCCTTCTGAATTATTTATCCCTAAATCTGATTCCGAAAGGTTTAACACATTTGTGCTGTATTCACAGAAGTATAAGTACACTTCATGTCATGCCTTAACTCGACGTTCTTTCAAATTTTTCAGTTAATCTGAGGTTTTCCGAGATATGTAATTTCTAGTTGGTACATGTACATCCTGGTTTACTATTTAAATATCAAATTAAATATTCGAATAAATTTTACATGATAACATAATAAGCCCAAATTATCATAAAGTCGTCACAAACACGCACACAAGAAGAAAAGAATGTTCGGTTTTCCTGCAAGAGCCATAAATTAACTTTATTGAACGTAAACTGAAAAAAAATTGTAAACGAATTTAAAGTCGGAGAAGGTTTTCAATATATCAGTATTGAACTGGATTGTTTAAATGGAAGGAGACCTATTTTGTGAACAAGAAGTAACTAAACATTGATCTTTTCACATTCTCATATCCAGTTAAACATTAAAAATCCTTTAGCTTATTTCCGATTCGTAATTGCTTTCTTCGTATTGAGTTCACTTCCAGAGCCATGTGAGTTTTCGCCATCCCTTGGCGTCCGGCGTCGTCTGTCCGTCCGCAAAACTTTTCGCATTTTGATCTTCCTTTTGAGAAACATTGAACAAAATGAAACTACGCTTGGCAGAGGTGTTACTTAAAAAGTCCCTTATGTGTGTTTTTTATTTGGTGAAATTCGTCAACCAACATGGCCAACATGATTATTTTTTCTAAATTCTCAGGTTGGCTTATCACAGGAAACTTCATCCCAAGGATTGCTCAGTATATTGAAATCAAAATTGTCAGATGTTCATATCAAAGCCCTTAACGAACTTTGTAATTTTGTGCTGATAGAAAATTTGAAATGACCGCCAGCGGAGGTCAAATTTTACATAGAGATACTAATGGAAATAGCAGTTTTCTTTTCTTTTCAAGATCATATAGAGTAAAATGAAAAATATACGACGCATAAGTCAATAATTACTTGGGTTCTGATGAAAATACTTTTTGTTTCTATTTTGACAAAATAAAATCAAGAATAGCTATTCAATCTTGTGGGACCACCTAGTTTTTCGTTTTATATGAATATATACGACACTATAAAAATGATAAGATGTGGTATGATTGCCAAGGAGACTACTCTCCACCAGAGACCAAATGACGTGGAAGTTAGCACCTAGAGGTCACCGAACGGCCTTCAACAATGAACAAACCCCATACCGCATAGCAAGCTATAAAAGGCCCCGACATTACAAATGTAAAACAATTCACACGAAAAAACTAACGGCCCAATTTCATGTACAAAAGAAAAACAAATATGATATACAGCAAGCAGGTACATACAGAATGTGGCGGGATTAAAAAAGAGAGGCGAAAGATACCAAATGGACATTCAAACTCATAAGTCAAAAATAAACTGACAACGCCATGGCTGAAAAAGAAAAAGACCAACAGACAAACAGTACACAAAACACAACATAGAAAACTAAAGACTGAGCAACACGAACCCCACCAAAAACTGGGGTTGATCTCAGGTTTGTGCTCCGGCTCGGGCGCCCGACCCGCCCCTAAACTGGGACAGTGGTGAAACATCACAACATATCTATAAACTATAAAAATCAATTGAAAAGTACAGAACGAATTTATTCGCAACGCTTAAAATCTTTAAATGACGTAAAGCAACAATAAAAGCGCTGTACCTGTACGTTTGGTTTCCACGAGTACTTATAGAGGTTTTATATCAAGATTTAATAAAACGATGGTAGCTATAACTTAGAAAACATCTGATGCATCAACTTTTGTTGTTGTGCTCTTTAGTCACCGCATATCAGTGCTACAAGATGTCTTAATCCTGTAACAAAATGCTGAAACCTTGGCGAAAATAGTATGTTTTTATTGAGAAAATGTGATCTTCAACATTCTCATACAATATTTTGTCTGACATGTTTTTATTGTGTCTGTCAGACCTTAACATTTAACGAAAAAAACAAAATTTGACACCATTGGATTGTTTCCAATCTTCCTTCCAAGTTCAAATATTTGTGTAAAGTTAAATCACGTTTAAATCCACCTGTAAGAAGATTTGGAGGTTTTAACAATTATTTCACTGTGTCTATATTTAACATTATTTAATATAAAGACTTGGGTTATGAATGAAAAGAAGTGACCCATCATAAGCGACACAGAAAATAATTTGGAGTGTAGGGTTATACAGATTAGAATGGTTATAAAACTCAAATATATTTTCTTACAAAGAATGGTAGGAAAAAGATGTTTGCAATTTTCCCATTGTATGATGTATCTATACTACTAAAATAACGAGGTCCAATTTTGTTAGCCGGCATGACGTTAAAACGACGAACCAAAGAATTCAACTTTATATATAACTACTATAGGACAATAGTGGTGATTAAGAAAAATTACACCATTCCAGGCTCTTTTGCTTTCCATAAATTAATATTACCAATAATTAACAAGTTTCGGGTCGAATCCGACACCAATACCAATGGTATATGTCACATGTACGTATGTTCTGTATCTTTCTCCTTTAAGAGCACCCCCATGGGTTGTTATTGTGTAAAGGATGACATTAAACACACTGTTTCGGTACAGATTTAATTTAAGCATTTGCCTACTAAGTTTCCCAGTCTGGCCGTGACGGGTCTTACTACCCGAAAGTTAACCTTCCCCAAAAACAGGACGGGTGCAAATAGAAAGATTTTGAAAGCAGAGAAAACACCTTATAATCAGCATGACTGTATCAGATGACAATACGAATAACTAAAATCCAGGCTAAAATAAGGCGTAGGTACTCTAATTCAGTCACGGATGTGTTAGATTTTCAAGACAATTTGATATTATCATATTCACCTTTGCATTCATGTAACATCGATGAAACTTTTGACACTCAACGGAGTGGGGAATGCCTCTTTCTCTTCTGCCGCCTATGTTCCATAAAAAAACTTGAAAAAGAAAGTCATACAAAAATAATTTGGTATTTATACCTTTTTTGCTTCTTCTTTTCTAATTGATAGTACTTAAATTATCGAGTATTACTTAAACATACCACGGTTATGATTTAATGACAATGGATACTGAACCGAGGTTAAATAATCGGAGATCATTTTGAATTCCTATTTAAGAACAGACAAGGATTAATGCATTATTTTTGTTTACAAATAACTTAAGTACGTCTGTTCTAACAGTGTTATTTAAATCTCTGTATCTACTGGTCCATAGGTTTGCAAGTCACGTTCTATTATCAGCCTTTGTGTTGACAATCACGATTTAAATTGTATAAGTTGGTATTATTATAACCACCTACTTAAGTGTACAGTAAAGTGCAAGAGACACAAGCAAATCATAAATACACAAGATCCGAGAATTGAATTTGAAAAGAATCAGGCACACCTGTCTGACGTCTGACATAAATCACCTCATGTCTAATTCTGGTCGCGTTTTCTCTCGTTAATTGTCTCAAATGCACCAAAAGATAAGCCAAGCCAAATTCACTGAAACTTGGTCGACACAATTGCTAGCGGAATGTTAGATCGATATCACTGCTAGGGGAATACTAGGGGATATTTAGGTCTAACTATGCTTGGGGAATGCTAGGCCGATACCACTGATAGTACCTCGACATCTGCTAGAGGAATGCTACCGTACCTATTATCTGCCTAGTCACTGGTGTTAAACTGCAGTTACCACGATTCCAATATGGCGGAGGTAGAAATAGGTTAAATCGTTTTCTGCTAATTTCTCCGTGTATACGTGTTGTTTTCAAGAATTACTCAGCTGCCAGGTTGATCTGTACGGTTTTGTTGTGTGTGTGTGTTTTTATGAAGTTATATGGTTTGCTACTGACCCCATACGGATCCATAGAGGGTTAGTAAAATTCATAGGGGGTGAGGCCGAAGGCCGAATATCCTATGGATTTTACTCACCCTCTATGGGTCCGTAGGGGGTCAGTGGTGAACCGTATAACGAATTTATCGCACATGGGATTTTTCCTGCTAAGTTTTGTATAAAAATAAGCAATGAAATACAATAACATTAATCGATGACGTCACCACTAATAGTAAATGTGACGTTATGAACCCCATATGAAATCTACTGACCCCATTCGGATCCATAGCGGGTCACCACGTGACGGCATGAAACCAATCATAACGTCATAATTTATCCGAGGTGCGATAAGTAAGTATATCGATCCTTTTTTTAATCTATTTTAAAAGGTTACAAATTCAACATTGTCATAAGAGTTTTGAATATCGTTTTTATCAGTTCTTACATTGATTTTGTTATAAATAAATTAAAACATAACTAAATATTTATCCCTATAAAGTTTTACCTCTTATGATCCTATATCCAGCCGATACTTATATTTCGGTATTGCACAATGTCATGTTTTTTTCTCAGATTGTTTTTGACGTTTTATAATAAATCCAATGGATGTGTATTAATTGATTTTAATTGGGAAAACATGATTTATTTATTAGTTGTAGTTAGCTGTTGAAATAGTTTTCAGTAACTGTGAAAACTCATTGATCTGTACATTGTGTCTTTAGTGTTTCTGTTAGTTTTTTGTTGTTGTTGCTTTGTGTTATGCCTCGTGCATAGATTTTGCGTAACAGATAACCAAAGTAGATTATTCAAACTTTAATACATCTACAGGATGATGGTAAAAAACTGAAAATACAAAGATAATCACTTTTACAATTCTGAAAATTACGTACGTTTAACAATTTTATGACACAAATGGCTTTCCATACTTTAAAATTTTCACGAGCGAGGATATTTATAGAAATTACAATAAACCTTTAAAATGACTAATTAAAGTTCAACAATGGATTAATTGAATGTCTTAGTGTATGTTATAATGAAAAACAACTGTTTGTATAGTTTGTAAGCGTTCTAATAAATGTTCTTTGTGTTGTGGGTCAACGCACATATTCTTTGAAGATACGCCTCGAAAACATAAAAACAGGTAAACAACCAAAGTCACATCTTCTGTGCTGATTTATAACAATAAGGTAAATGTTCAGATATATACAAAGAGTTCAACTTACGCCGTGGTTGGCTCAAGATTTCAATTTCAGTTAATGTCCGACATGGAACGGATTCCATAACAAAGAGCGATAATTCCAAAAAAGTACATATGGAGCGCCGGTGACATTACACTCCCCGTCTGATATTATATATATATCACTATTAATCAGTTTCCATTAATACAACTAGTTCGGTTATAGGACGGATGTATGAGACTCTTTCGCCATCTTTACGTACGATTCGCAACGCTACTTTGCGGACTCTTTTGTCTTGACTTGGAAAAGTGTCAGTTATGATGCCGACAGGCCAACTACATCTATGAACAGAACTGTCTTTCAATAATACTAGATCTCCAATTGAAATGTCTCGTTTTTCTGTTTGCCATTTGCGACGTTTTTGCAATGTCTGGAGATATTCGACTCTCCATTTCCTCCAAAACATATCAGCCAGTACCTGGACTCTTTTCCACTGAGCTCTATACATATTGGTCATATCAAATGTGTTTTCAATCGTTATCAAATTAGGCTTCTGAGTCAGAAGCATTGCTGGAGTAAGAGGAATTGGGTCCTCGGGATCTGTTGAAACTTCAACTAATGGTCTAGAATTGACGATGGCTGTCACTTCTGCCATAAGAGTTATTAGTACTTCATGTGTGAGTCCACCCTTTACGTTCTCTAGAAGAATTGAATCAAGGACTCGTCTCGTGACGCCAATCATTCTCTCCCATATACCGCCCATATGAGAAGAATGCGGTGCATTGAAAACCCATGTAACTCCAGACTTGTACAAACAGTCCTTAATATTATCATCGTCCACACGAATAGTATCTATATTTAGTTCATTTGTTGCTCCTACAAAATTTGTTCCGCAATCTGATCGAATTTGCCTCACTTGTCCACGTATAGATGTGAATCTTTTAAAGGCATTAATGAATGAAGAACTACTCATCTCTTCAAGGACTTCGATATGTATTCCCCGGGTGGTGAGACAGGTAAAGAGAGCGGCCCACCTCTTCGAATTAGCAGCACCACCACGCGTCTTCCGAGTTGCTATCTCCCATGGCCCAAAGCAGTCAACACCTACATAAGTGAAAGGTGGTCCAGGTTCCAAACGGTCGACAGGAAGATCTGCCATTTTCTGAAATTGCAGCTTGCCTCGCAATTTTCTCAGATTATACACTTGTGAATCATCGAAGACACAAGTCTCTTCGATCCGGTTATCCAATAACCACCAGTTCTGATTGCTCCATTCGTGATCAACCTTCCTTGATGTTTTACCTGATGATGGAATTTTCGTATCAACAAAGTGGCGATATGATGTTTGCCTGGAATAATGATGGGATGTTGTTCGTTAATCCCAATATCAGCATGAGATAAACGTCCTCCTACACGTAATATACCTTCCTGATCAACGAATGGATTGAGAGAGACCAACGGACTGTTCGCTGGTATGTTTTTGCCTTCTACACTACTCAGTAACTCCTCAGTATAAGTCTCTGCCTGAACAGCTTTGATGATATTTATTTCTGCCCTTCGGCTATTCACGAGATTTAAGGATTCTCTACAGTGATGCCATCCTCTTCCATGGTGACAGTGTGCTTTTCCTTGGTAAGACTCCGCGATATGTTGAAGTCTAGCAATAGTGTCTACTAATTTGTTCCAGTCTGAGAATCTCTCGAACCTTTGTGATCCCATACTAGAGATGTCTGAAAATTTCGTTTTGAGACATGACACATTCCTGATTTCCTTGTCTTCAGACGGGTCCTGTAATTGATACTCCGTTTCACTGATCGAGTTTTCACCTATGGTACGAGTTGGTCCATGAAGCCACATGCTTGTTTGTAAATCCTTTACAGCGATTGATCTTGTTGCCTGATCTGCAGGATTATTTCCTGTATGTACATAAGACCATTGGTTTGCTTTCGAAAACTTTCTAATTCTAGCTACCCTGTTGGCTACATAAGTGTAAAATCTCCTAGAATCGTTTGAAATATATCCAAGTACAACTTTACTATCAGTGAAGAATCGAAATTTATCCGGTGGTATATCGAGATGTTCTGTAACAGATTCTGCAAGTTCAATTGCTAAAACAGCGGCACAAAGTTCTAGTCTAGGTATCGTGTGACCATGTGATGGTGCTACCTTAGCTTTCCCTAGAACAAATCCATACTGACGATCGTGATCTGATCTTTGAGCACTCAAATACGCAACTGCTCCAATCGCCTTTTCTGATGCATCCGAAAAGATATGAATTGTTTTCTCTAATGTGGAAGAATAAGGTTCGGCAAAGTACGTGCGTGGAATTTTAACATGTTCAAGATCAACCAATGAAGTTTTCCAATCTTTCCACTCTGAATACTGTTGTGTCGAGAGTGGCGAGTCCCAGTCCTGACTTTCCTGAATCAATGACCTCATTAACAATTTTCCTTTTATAACAACTGGCGCAATAAATCCAAGAGGATCGTATATAGAGTTTATTGACGACAAGACCCCTCGTCTTGTAAAAGGTTTAATTCCGGAGTCAACTTGGAATGTAAACGAATCAGAATCTAAATCCCAGTTAATACCAAGGCTTCTTTGTGACGGTAGCCTGTCACAATCTAGATCTATTTCCTTCAAGTTTTTTGCTAATTCTTCTTGTGGAAAAGCGTTCATAACCTCTTTGTTGTTTGAAGCGATTTTATGTAGTTCAATGTTTCCAACTTTGTCAAGAGCATCTTTTGACCTCCTCATTAAGCTGATTGCTTCTGATGCAGATGGTAGAGATATGAGACCATCGTCAACATAAAAATTGTTCTCAATGTAATCCTTTACATCTGACCCGTACACATTTTCGCCTAAAGCAGCAGTTTTCCTCAGACCATACGTAGCTATTGCAGGCGAGGGTGAGTTGCCGAATGCATGAACGCACATGCGATACTTTGTTAACTCATTTGACGGATTGTTGTCTTTGTACCACAAAAACCTCAAGTAGTTTCTGTGTTCCTCACTTACTCGAAAGCAGTAGAACATTTGACGAATGTCTCCTATGACAGCGACTTGATCTTTACGAAAGCGCATCAATACACCAATCAAACTGTTCGTTAAGTCTGGTCCTGAGAGAAGAACGTCGTTTAATGAAACGCCTCCATATTTTGCAGATGAATCAAACACTGCTCGTAACTGATCAGGTTTTTTGGGGTGGTAGACCCCAAAAATAGGTAAGTACCAGCATTCTGAATTATTGTCAAGTTCGGGGGCTGGCTCAGCATGGCCGTTTTCAAATATGTTAGCCATGAAAGTAAGAAAATGTTGCATTTTTGTCTTATCTCTACGGAGACTGTGGTCGAGTGATCTAGCTCGTTTCATAGCAAGTTGTTCATTGTTCGGTAGCCGTTGTCTGTCCTCTCGAAATGGTAACGGTGCAATCCAATTCCTATCGTCGTCTTGTTTAAACTCTTTGTCCATTATCTTCAGAAATTCTTTGTCATCGATTGACATTGCAATTTTGTCGTCATGATTGGTTGTTTGGAACACATCTTTTCCAAATGAATCTTTCTCATAGACTTCGAAAGCATTTATACATGGTTGAACAAGCGAAGGACGATCTCCTTTCACTAAGAATGTCTTGTTCACGTTTACGACCTCAGGCATGTGAGTCTTGTCTAAACATGTTTCACCGATTATAGTCCATCCAAGTGGAAGTTTCTGGGCATAAGGCGAACCTCGCGGTCCAATTCTCTGATCCATGACATGATGAGCTTCGATGATATCTCGGCCTAATAATAACAGGATTTCACAATTTCCATCAATCGGAGGAATATTTGCAGCAATGTCCCGGAGGTGATTGTAGTATGCAGCTATTTCCGGAGTAGGAATTTCAGATCGAATGTTCGGTATACCATCACACTCAATTAACGGAGGTAGATCCAGCGAAACATTTGCATCTAAAGACTCGACGACTAGATTCGAAATTTTCTTACCGGTAATGTTCACCTTTCCAGAGCAAGATGAAAGTGTATAGGTTATTTCATCGCCTTGAGCATTGAGTAAGGCTGAAAGTTCCGGCTTCATGAGTGATCTGTTTGATTGATCATCTATCAATGCATACGTCCTAACAGCATTAGCACGCTGGTTCTTCTGATATATTGTTACAAGTACAGTTTTGGCACAAGACTTTCCTGCAAAGTAATCTCCACATACTTGAGAGCACATTGCTTTTACAACTGGTGTTGTAGAACTTAGTTCCGGGTTTTGCAATGACTCCCCGCCAATCGAGGATAAAGCTTTCGGCGGCGTGTTAACGTTCTTATGAAAATTGTCAACATGAAGAGCAGTTGCATGATTACTATTACATATGTCACACTTGACAGTACCACTACTTGGACAGTTTCTTTGTATGTGAGTATTCGATTCACAGCATCGGAAACAAATGTTTTTGTCTTTCAACAATTTTCGCCTTTCGTCTATTGGTTTGTTCCTAAAGGCTCTACATTTATTTAGAGTATGATTGGTATTGTGAATAGGACATTGTTTTTCATCTCTTGATCTCTCTGTTGACCTGGAATTGTCTTGTAGTTCAGTTTTCTTAGTTGCAACATTGACATTTCGTGAATTTCCTTTTTCCTTTCGGTTTGTGACAACAGAGTCGTATTCATACATAAAGCTAGGGTTGTTCTTGATCTTACTTTGCTCTCTCAAAAACTCAGCGAAGCACTCAAAAGGAGGATATATTACTTTTTTATCCTTCATGAATTTTCCTGCCGTGTTAGTCCACTTTTCTTGAATGTTTCTAGGTAGCTTAGAAACAATAGGGATTACTCCTATAGAAGAATCATACATAGCTAAAGATGATTTGAATTTAGGTTCCAGTTTCAAAGATTCTATTTCGGAAACTATATCTGAGAGTTCGTATAGACGTCTGTTGTCTTTAACATTAATAGTCGGAAAAGCATTGAGTTTTGACCTAAGTGCAGCTTCAACCATCTCAGGACAGCCATAACGGTCCTCTAAACGTTCCCATATTCTGGATAGGGCCAAACTGGGATTACTGGGGTTAGAAGATTTAATGTTTAAAACATGTTGCCTCGATTCAAGACCAGTCCATTTTACTAACATGTCAATTTCTTCTAAAGGTGTAACTTGTAATTCTGTCATGATGTTTGTGAAACTTGACTTCCAAGTACAATAGAATTCTGGCTTATCATTGAACGTAGTTAAGCGTGATAAAAGTAGCTCTTTCTTTAATAGAAATCTTGTGAGGTCACTTGTAACACTGTTGTCTATCTTTTCTGTTGTTCTGTTTTGGATTTCTGCTTGTTCCATAATAGGTGTCTCTTCAGGAATTTGATATGTTTGTAAAGGAGGTTCACCTTTCAATGATGGTACCGCATACGGGATATCAAATACCTTTTGAGGTTCGTTTCTTGTTGACGGTACAATATATGGAATCTCAAATTCTTTTCCTGGTTGTAAAACAGAGTGTGATTTTAGAGAAGATTGTTCGTCTACATAGGCTAGTGTTCTTTTACTAGCAATAGATTTAATTCCTGAACAGCTTCTTTCAGTTCGCTCATCTGATCCTTCAGACTGCAACACTTCGACTTCAGCTTCTGCTGCAGCTGCTTCCTTTTTGTATGCTAGGACTTCAAGATCTGCATTTAATTCAGCCTTTTCTTTCTGTGCTGCTGCTTTGAACTTAGCAGTTTCTATTTCAAATTGTTCATCTAAGGTAGCTTGTTTCTTTTTTAATTCTGCTTCTTCCTGAACATATTGCAGGCGTACCTTTGCTGCTTCTGCTTTAGCTTTGGATTTAAGATACACGGAACTTGCACTCGAGTTTCGTGAGCTACTTGTTTTAGCTCCAGATCGTCTGGAAGAACTGGATTTGACTGATCCTCTGTCTGTATCTTTGCGTAATGCATCTGATATCCGCTGACGAAGACTTCTTAGTGATGCATCTATCAATATTCTGTAGCCTCGAAAAGTTGTTTCGAAATATGACTTTTCCTGAAGGCTCTCATTGGTGTTATACTTCATGAGAAAATCTAGGTAGATAGTACAGAGAGCTGAAAATTGGTCTGCATGTAGCGTCAATTCTCGTTGAACCTCTTGAAGCTCTAGTAGGTTATTATCTTTCAGCGAATCTGCTGTATCGATAACGGCGTCAACTGTACTCCAGAATTTCTTTATCTGTCGAGTATGCCAATCTCTTGATTCTTCGTAATGGTCTTGCCCTTTAAGTGTCAAAGTTCTAATTCTCCGTCTTGCATCCTCGTCCACAGCAGCAATGTCTGATTGCTCCTCAGATGATGCCTCTCTAGAAAATGTTGACATGATGGCACAAATTCTTCTCACCAGTTACGGGCTTTTTTACTGTTATGCCTCGTGCATAGATTTTGCGTAACAGATAACCAAAGTAGATTATTCAAACTTTAATACATCTACAGGATGATGGTAAAAAACTGAAAATACAAAGATAATCACTTTTACAATTCTGAAAATTACGTACGTTTAACAATTTTATGACACAAATGGCTTTCCATACTTTAAAATTTTCACGAGCGAGGATATTTATAGAAATTACAATAAACCTTTAAAATGACTAATTAAAGTTCAACAATGGATTAATTGAATGTCTTAGTGTATGTTATAATGAAAAACAACTGTTTGTATAGTTTGTAAGCGTTCTAATAAATGTTCTTTGTGTTGTGGGTCAACGCACATATTCTTTGAAGATACGCCTCGAAAACATAAAAACAGGTAAACAACCAAAGTCACATCTTCTGTGCTGATTTATAACAATAAGGTAAATGTTCAGATATATACAAAGAGTTCAACTTACGCCGTGGTTGGCTCAAGATTTCAATTTCAGTTAATGTCCGACATGGAACGGATTCCATAACAAAGAGCGATAATTCCAAAAAAGTACATATGGAGCGCCGGTGACATTACACTTTGTGTCGATCTGATGAGTCGTTAAGCCTTTTTCATAGTTTGTTCTTATGTTGTACTCCTACACCAAAGTCCCAGGTTAGGAAAGGAGATCACTCACAAGCATGTTTAACCCTGCTGCATTCTGTATGCGTCTGTCCCAAGTCAAGAGCCTGTAATGTGGTTGTCGTTACTGGGCTTTCACTATGAGTTTTGCACATTTTTGAAGGCCGTACAATCACCCGAATTTGCTTACATATACGTCTTTTGGTCTCTGGTGGATAGTTGTCTCATTGGTAATCATACCACATCTTTTTATTTTTATTTTGAAAGTTAACAACTTGTTTCTGAATAATTTCTATACATAGATTTGTTAAAAATCCAAATTCATGCTATCAAATCTGTGTTGGAATGTGTTAATACGATCGACATGAATTTCTAAAAATATCATCTTTTTAAGTTACTGTTGTATTAAATAATTAACCATATAAAACATACAAGTCACTAGAAAACTCGTAAATTAGATGCTACGTTATTTTCAAATTTCGCATTGTCAACTGATCGAGTGAATATAGCAACAAATGATAATATATTTATTAGAATATTAAAAAAAAAAAAATGTCTCTTCAACCAATTGCTTGAGTGAATAATACAATAAAAGGTTTTTGCAAAACGAAAAAAAGATAGTTACTGTAACACAAATAAATTTGAATAAAAAAAAAACAACATTTAACAGATGCCTTTAATAATTTAGGCTGCTAATTACCGACACTCTCTACCAATCGTAGTACACCTTTCCCTTAGGGTCCTTTAAAACGCAGGAATATGTCCTGTGGTTTAAATAAAGATAATTGGAACAAAAAATGTCATAGTCCTAATGACATGTACATCATCAAGTTTCAATCAACGAATGTTTTAAAGTTAAAAAAAATCTATTTTAAAGAGCCCCTAATAGGGATTTGCGAGAACTTCTCAGACAAAATCAGGTACAAAAAGGAGATATGCGTGATATACAATCCGCATACATAAAATTTAGATATCTGACAGGAGATCGGTAAATCTATGTTTCGAGGAAAGGTGTATTGCGACCAGAACGCTATCTACTATACATGTTATTTGTTTTAACACTTTTTTATTATTTATTTTAGACACGGACACTGTCCCTCACGTGATGATGAAAATCATGAGTGTTGTGATTGGGAGATAAAAACATATCAACAGACAATTAAGTACTGCAGGAAATGTAAAGTTACACCTACTAACTCGTCGGATATATGTTACTACAGAGCAAGAAGACACAGGCAAGGAAAACTGATATTAAAATAAGAAGATGTGGTATGATTGGCAATGAGACAGCTATCCATTAGTGACCAAACGACGTGGATAACCAAATATAGGTCACTATAAGGTCTTCAACAATGAGCAAAATCCATGCAGTTTAGGAAGTTGTAGTAGGTTCCGGCATGACAAAATATAAAATTAGTCAAACAAGAAAACCAACGGGCTGATTTAAGTTGAAACAATAAATGAAACACAAAAACGACAGACAGTAACCAACAGCAATCACTTATATGGTTATTAGTATTAACATGTATACATTAAATACACTATGAGTAAAGGTTTCAATTAAACAATTGACAGATATGTGTTTAAAGAGACTAGCAAAGCAGTTGGTTTACAACAAGGCGGAAATAACTGTAGAGAGACAAATAAGTATACAGCTTATATATCAGACACGACACAATGTGGTACCAAACACCTTGACTAAAATTAATTTGGCTCGTTTAATTTTCAAAAAATATTTACTTTGACCCTTTCATAAAAATATAAAAATTTCAAAACACTTGAACCACACACTTTATAGGAAAAATTTCATTGGATATATAGCAGTTTGACAATCACTAATTTTGATCATTGAGAGGCTTAATATTTCCTTAACAATAGAACGTGATTGAAACGTTCAGCTGATTTTTACAGAGTTATCTCCCTGTAGTGTTATGTACCACCTTAATGCAAGCAATAATTGTCCAACTTTCTATTGTTAAAACAATTCATAGACAACACTTTTATTTTATTGTAGATATAAACAAGGCTGTGTTGTCAGTTTTAAGTACAATGTGACTGAGGCAACATGTACACCAAAATGTTGTGAGGGATGGACACGTGATGAATATGGCCAATGTTCGATCGGTAAGTTTTTGTTAATTACTTTTATTTCATTTGTTTTGCTTTATTATATTTTTGATAGAAGGTTTCCGATACTAGTATATGGTTTTTTTTATTTAAAATTGTTGAATTTGGGATTTTAAACAAACAATTTATGCAACTTAAAATTATAAACATGATTGAAGGGGACACATGTGTCCGTACAAAGTGAGAGTATCTGGACCATGCCTAGCCCTTCTTTGTCTTTGTATGTTTATTTCTAGGAGGAGTGAGTAGTTGCGGATTTGTGTTGTCTCTTGTATTGTCCAATATTTTTTGTGATTCCTGTTATCATTTTTATATATGTTAAAAGAATTTTAAAATCAGTATACATTGAAACTTTTACTTGCAAAGGTATACTTACAGCGACGAATTATTGCGTGAACCCCTGAGGGTTCACGCATATTTATTAGTTAGAAATATAGTCTATGGAGGAATATTCGGAAGCTAAATTATTGTTCATTCGGAACACCTATTCATCTTATCTGTATTAGCTTCCTGCAATTAAGAGCACCTCCATACGGTGTATCTAAGATATTTAAAACATGGCAATAAAAAATTTTCACAGATCGCTAATTCACTTATCTGATATATGATAATAAACATTCTATAGATCCTTTTCAAACATGTATATCTATTGTAAAGCTACATTTTATGCATTGCAAGGGTTTACTGACTTGAGCAAAGTTGACAGTTGTACCCTTTGATAAACAAGTGAAAGTTAAATGGTCAAGATTTAATTATAACGACCTATGGTATCAAACATCTGTGTCTAGGTATTCACAGAGAGATATTTTAAAATAGTGCTGTGGTTTCTGCATAATGAGTTATAGCTAGTGGGCTTTGGGATTTGATTTGTAACAATAAAATCATTATGCACAAATCAGATAAAAAAAAATCTGTTTAAAATGAAAATAAAACAAGTAAAATAAAGACTGTTCGTTAATATACATTTTTACAACTTTTACTGTTTCCTTTTTATAGTATTCTCTATAAATTAAGTTATCTTGTAAGTTAATTAAATGTTTATTTAATTCATTGATGTCACTATTATTTCAGTGACCGCTGCAGAAAGTCTTGACTCGTTCAAGAGACTACTGCATGCACATTAAATTTCAAGTCCCATGTTTTTATTTGCACCACGTATAAATGATTTACAGCACAAATTATTTCCTTTCTGTTAAAATCATTTTGGACTTGTTAAGTATGCAAGCGCACACCAAACAGTGACAGGATAGTCAACCAAATGACGGTGGTCATTTAGTGGTAGAAGTAGAAATTTCTTATATTATTCTCACACTGTAATGCTCTTAAATTTATGTGTATTTTGGATGTGCACTAGTGATTAGTAAATATTGATACGTTTCTGTGTTTTTAATATATGTGACTTAACATCAAGAATTCCATTATTATGGAATCGTTCACTTTTGTACACTTCGGTTTCTAAATAGAGGGTGGTAAAAAGGAGGGTCTGAACACGGAAACACGTGAAATAACAAATCGCAAAAACTTTGCACGGAAAAAAAAAACACTCTGGAAAAACGAAGCCAAGGAATAAAATCGTAAATATTAAGGAAAAAAGTACCAAAAGTTATTACTCGGCCTTTCTTGGACATCATGCATGCAGTCATTATAAATGGACATGTCGACCCTGCATGTGGTCACCTTTTAGCGTCCGTTAGTTGCATCCGATTTATCATAGTAATACAATAGGCTATTAATAAATATCTTGGGACCAGTTAATTAGTTTATAATTTAAAACAATATTTGGGCTGACTTTGAATTAGTCCCGGTTTACTTTTTGATCAAATGCGGGACAAGCACGAGAAAATAAGAGTACCGACACGAAACACGGAAAATAATTAAGGGAAAACACGAAGCACGCACACCGAACCAAACACGAGGAAACGACACATAAAACGTCGAAACACGGAAACACGTGAAATAAAAAGGCCGAAAACGTTGCACGAAAATAACCCTTTACCACCCTCTAAATAGGCCATCCTAGATGTCGACACCTCATATTAGAACTTAAGTAGATGGTCAATTTCGTTTGCAAGGTTAAAGAAATCTTCAACTTACTCTAATTTGCCTGTGAAGACCATAAAACCGTCATCACTATTGATAGTGTAATTTGATGTTTTCTCTCTATTGGAACTTATCTAAGATTTTAATGAGTACAAATTAATAACCTGGTTGGTACGCTCCTATAATGTGTTTGTATAACAGTCCATTAAACTCAAATTCATTGTTTCTAAGAATTAATTTAACAAATGCAGTTAATTCTATTTTGTTGAGAATCTTTAAAGTATATTCTCCTGTGTGTCAATAAATTCTAATGCATTGATAACAATTTCTTCTAAATTGTCATCAATGATCATATTTGTGTACATTGACGTTCATCATAGGCAATAAGAATGCATACTTTTTTACCTCGTGTGACTCTATTTTATTAATGAAATTTTTTATATCTTGAATGTAAAAGTTATGCCTCTTCAATAATTGGATGTTGGATGTGTACTAATTGATAATTTAGTCTTAGATGCACGATTTTTTAAATTAGTTGTTAGTGGCTTTGAACTAGCTGTCAGTAACTGCGAGTACTCTCAGATCTGTGCTTAGTGTCTATTTGTTGTTGGGATATACAAGTACCCGGCCACGTCCACTCTGTGTAGTATTTCTGTTTGTATCCATCTGACGAGTTAAGCCTTTTTCAACTGATTTTTATAGTTCGTTTTTATGTTGTACTGTTACACCACTGTCCCAGGTTAGGGGGAGGGTTTGGATCCCGCTAACATGTTAACCCCGCCACATTCTGTATGTATGTGCCTGTCCCAAGTCAGGAGCCTGTAATTCAGTGGTTGTCGTTTGTTGATGTGTTACATATTTGTTTTTCGTTCATTTTTTGTACATAAATTAGGCCGTTAGTTCTCGTTTGAATTGTTTTACATTTGTCATTTCGGGGCCTTTTATAGCTGACTATGCGGTATGGGCTTTGCTCATTGTTGAAGGCCGTACAGTGACCTATAGTTGTTAATTTCTGTGTCATTTGGTCTCTTGTGGAGAGTTGTCTCATTGGCAATCATACCACATCTTCTTTTTTATATTTATAATTAGATCAAGTAAGTATCTCTAGCGGGAGAGTTACACTTGTTGATGATTGGTCGGTAACAAACATTAATGTGTCCTGCTAGCTGACCAGTTTGCAATGCCTCATTACTTATTTCTAGATTAATTTTATGAATTTTTGGAAGAAGGTACATGTGTCGTCCATGTTTTGAATTATTATTATTCTTTAAGAAATTATACGTCTGTGAATTTTTTTTTTCTCTCCTTGCTTTAAATTTAACGCTTCTCTCAACATGCCAAAATTGTAATGATTTACAATAAAAAGAAAATATTATCCTCCACACACATGGCCAAGATAACACTGATATATAATTTCCTATTCAGTTGAATTAATAATTAGAATAAAAAAGTTCTAAGGTTCACGTATTGTCTTTTTTTTTTTAAAAGCAACTTGTTTTATTCCTTAATTCACTGTTGTAGAAACAGATGCCAACACTCAAGAAATTGTCTGTGAAAATGGTGGTTCTCCTGCAGACGACTATTGTTATTGTCCGGACGGATTTTCCGGGAAACATTGTGAATCTGGTATGTAACAATTTATCGCGAATGCACTTTGTTAGTGTCTGTATGTTAGAATAAAGCTGTTTATGTTATGATCTTATGCATGATAAAAATATGATCAGAAGTCTTCGAGATATTTATACTCGAAAAGCACTTATGTAATCATACAAATATCATGGAAGTGGTATATTTTGCGATGTGCTTTTCCACGTTAAGTCGATTTGTAAAATTCCTTGTGCACTATGGTAAAAAGTAACTTCTTCTGGTATTTATATGTAATGGTAAATTCTTGAATAATATTTATTTGTCGTTTACAAAACAGCAAATTGATTTTTTTTAAAGTTAAACTGACAATGATAATGCAATAGTTACTAATATATGATTCCCTGCACTTGAGAAATCAAAATGATTAGACATGTAATATACGTCAAGATGTTAACATTTTATCCTTCATTTCCAGCTGTATGCACTCCTCATTGTTTGAATAATGGAATTTGTTCTGGCAGAGATGGAGAAGCTATTTGTATTTGTCCCGATGGAAAATATACCGGAAAACAGTGTGAAACGCGTGAGTTTGTTTGGCATGAACAAATTAATGCATACGTCTGTGTTTGTATGTGTGTGAAAAAACTTTAATAATAATTTAATGCTTTATTTATTCAAAACAGGATTGCCAACAGCCCAATAGCTATAGTAGTGGCTAATACAACTGACGGGTTTGCAAATATAACTCATGATATTGAAATATTACTTTAAATAGAAGTGATTTTCAACTTTTTGTACAGTGTATATTAAATTTAATTGTTGATCGTTGAAATCTGATATAAGTCCCTTAAATAATGACATTTATAAAAGTATATATACCGTGTCTTATTGTAGCTGTGTGTGACCCAGCGTGCCAAAATGGCGGAAGTTGTATTGATGGAATATATAGACCAATGTGTTCTTGTCCTCCTGGCTATGAAGGGGAGTCGTGTGAGAAAGGTAGGTATGACATGTCATGCTTCTTTGAAGTATTATTATGTACATTTTGGTTTCAGAGAGTTAAGTCCGAAGAAATATTTTGGGATCGCTGCGCTCAAATTTTTACTTTGAGCCATGCTTGTTTTTCAATGTATGTTTAAAACGCGTTTATCAACTTTCTGATGGATATGGTGGTGACAGTGTGTATGTGTATGCTTTATTATGATACTAGTTTCCATGAACGGAATAACGAGAAAATGCCTTTGAGTAATCATATTTTAGAATATGCCTGTACCAATTCAGGCAGCTGTTTTTCACATGTTCCGTTGATTGATAGCGTTTGATTTTGTCAGTTTATATGAACTTCCCCTTTTTGAATTTGCCTTGGAGTTCGGTATTTATAATATACTTTTTTAGAATGTACTTCTACAAATTCAAAATAACATGTGTCTTATGCTGCCAAAAGTTAACTTATTAACTCGTTTTCCCGATGCAGTCAGTGAGTATAACTTGAATCTAACATTAATGTATTCATACCATACAAACTACGATGCATAAAAAGAGATGTAGGGAAATAGTCATTAGACAGCAACCGAACCAACCCAACTGTATACAAACAATGAATATACATCAATGAATATCATATCATTATTCGGAACGTAGGATTTTATTATATTAAGTGGATCTTTTTTAACAAGGAGAGGAACACGATACCTAACCCATTATGTTGAAAGCGGAATTAGAAATTCAAAGAAATATGCATAAAAAAATCAAAACAAAACAGGTGTACGGAGACACAAGGAAAGAGATACTGAACACTTAAAACTAAAGTATTTGATGATAAGAACCATTTTATTTTGTTTTCTTGTGTGCTGGTATCCAGCCAACATATGTAGCTACCACGATAGCGAGCACATTTTGACCCTATAGGTTTCATTACACAATTTACATCTGAATAGATAATGTAGGATATTTTCCTCTTGATATTCAAAAACCCAGTGTGTCTGTATTCAAATATAAGGAAACAAACAAGTGATCAATAAATTTTACTTTGTAATTACAGAAGTCAAAGATGGCGATTGTCCTGCACCATCAGGTTCAGGAATTTGTGCTGAAATGTGCAAAACCGATTCTGAATGTCCAAACGAGCAGAAATGTTGTAGAAACGGATGCTATGCACACCAGTGTATGGCACCAGCGGCTACAACATGCACTTATCAAGGTGAACAGTATCCAGTCGGACACCGCCTCCAAAACAATTCATGCACAACCTGTGTATGTAAAGACCCTAATAGTAAAAATCAGTGGGAATGTGTTTCTATTAGTTGTCCAAGACTTCAATGCTACAAAACAAAGATGATCCCTAACTTGTGTTGTCCGGTATGTGACGGTAAGTGCACGTCAAAAGTTACCTTTACCTTGTGGAACAACATAAAACGCATGTTTGTAATAGGTTATTACCACACTGATGCTCCATCATATTCATACTTTTGTTGTTTACTAAAATATAGCCCTGTGATACAGGTTTTGACAATGTCAACCTTCGGTTAACATATTTCCCTTACACATACCTAATTCTAGAATGGTAAATATTCATATGTGACCTTGCTTACTTGCTTAACAGTTTTTTTTTTTCATTCATTTAGAGTGAAGGGTTAATAGATATTATCCTGATAGACAACTTTAAAATAACTTTTAGCTGTTTGCTTATTCCTTTCTATTTTTACTTTTTTCTCCTGTGTGATCCTTTATTGCTTTTATACATAGCTTTGAATGCACATGGTTTTATGTTTGTCCATGTTACTTGTGTAAGAACTCTCGAATAATTCCGTTTGCTCGGGTCAACCTAATTACGTGATTCAAATAATTTAAAATTTCTAAATAAACACACTTACATATGAGAACAAAATATTGCTAGTGCTGAATATTGACTTTAAATTGATGTACATGAAAATTTCTTGTTAATCCTTATCTTTTACATTGGTAGTATTCTTTTTTTTTAAATACAATAGTGTATCAAATACTTACTGTACAAACACACAATATAAGTGTTCGCATTTTAGATTTTGAGAGTATATGAGTAGATTAATATATTGTAATTGTCAGAACTTGAAAACTCAAATGATTTTGTTATTGTCAACTTGGTGGATATAATTAGTAAAGTCCTCTGTGTAAAGACTTAAGCAAAATGATATAAAAAATATTTTAAATGTATAAAAATTAAGTGTAAAAGTGTAGTCTAGTACAGCTTTTGTTCGTTCAAACTGAAATAAGTACCATTCGATAGTTCCATTGTTCCTGCTTGATTTTCTTATTGTAAGAATGAGTGTCTTTCCATGTACCAGATATGCCGACCACAACTACAACTACACCCGCACCAACCACTACAACAGCAACAAGAATACCGACCACAACCTTGCCTTCCACGTGTAAAGAGAATGGGACACATTACCCAATGGGCGCTACAATAACTAGAAATAATTACTGTGAACGTTGCACATGCATATATACTGCATCTACCAATGGAGAACTTTATAATACTACACGCTGGCAGTGCATGGTGACAGATTGTTTCTGGGATTCATCCTGTTCCAATATGACACGTATTCCTGGTCAATGCTGCCCTATCTGCACCGGTAAATGCTAAAAACATCATCATCATCAAATATACTCACACAGTAACATAATATACATATGATAGCGGGTATCGGAAAATACTAACACTCACGAAGCATGATTATAGAAGGGAATATTGCACTGGTAATACGTGAACTTTTTTTTATATATACTATTGTCACTCTTGAATTGATATAGCAATGGTACTGCTTATCGTGGTCTTTAAAATTATATCTTGTTCCTTATCGTTTTACGTCTTTGTGTTTTAAGTTAACATATAATTTTCTCAAATAACACAGGGCAGGAAAAATTATTTATAAAAAATCAATAGATCTTAAACTTAATACACACTTTTCCATCTAATTGAAACCGTTTTTTCTCATGTCTTACACCACTGTACCAGTTAATGAAGAGGGTTAGCGCTCACAAACATATTTAACCCCGCCACAGTCTAAATTGTCTGCCCCAAGTCAGGAGCCTGTTATTCAATGGTTGCTGTCAGATAACTTGTTTTTCATTTATTGTTTTGTCATAAATAAGGCCTTTGGTGTTTTTGTTTGATTTGTTTCACATTTTGTCTTGTCGGGGCCTTTTATAGCTGTATTTACGGTATGGTTTTTGTTCATTGTTTAAGGCCATACCGTAGTTGCTTAAATCATTTAGACTTTTTCTGGTGGAAAGTTATCTCAATTACAATCATAAAATATCTCCTTTTTTTGTAGAAATACATGTATTGATCTGAACTGTGTAATTAAGATGTTGTGAGGTTGTTGCATCAGTTAACTTTTTTTGTAGTTAAGTGATCTAACAAAGGTATTTCGACATTGCCATCGAAATAGAGTAATGTCAATTATGTCATGTGACTCGTTTTCCTAATTCAAGCCTCATTATAAATACTAATAGTATCACATTTATCGTAATATAATCAAAGTATAAATTTATACTCAAAATCATAAAAAACCAATATAATCTCAAAACTATTTCAAAGTACTTGTCAAGTCGAATACCATGTCAAAATATACTAATTCTTTCTCAAAACCATAACAAATTGGCAACACATATAACTTAACAAAGTACTGAAAATACTTGTAATCAGTTTAAGAATACTTATACTTGAAAGTATAAGTTAATCATTAAATATTCATTTTCGTTTAATTTCTTCAAATATAAACTACTTATCTTCATTTAACTTACTTTATTTTAGAACGTACCGATAGCCATTCAACCTTTTAAAATACTTATATGTTTTCTCGTAGTATCATAAGGGTACTGAGACATACTGTGTTTATAACAAAACTATGTAGTAACTTTTATTCTTCACAAAAGCTATTATTTTTAAAAGATTCTCCATGATAAATGGAATGTTTTCTTTCAAATTGCAAACTGTTTTAAACAATCGAATCTTGAAGTATTCAATTTGTACTCGCTTGAACTGTGTAAAATGGCTAAATTTTCAAATCAGTAAGAGGTAGACCAAGCTCTGCATCATACTCCTTAATTAATTCGATACGATTCCATCTAATTAATCATCGAAATGACATCCGAAGACTGCCGACGGTCATATAACCCGATATAAACATAAGTATGAATATAAATAGATAGCGAGAACGAGCAATTGGTTTTTTTCTATGTCTGTTTAATTTCATTTTATAAGTTAAAATATGTTTTCGTTTTTACCTGTATAAGAATGATTTTTTTGTAGATCGAATCAGTCAACGAAATGGTTCACCCTTGTTTCACTTTCAATGTTGACATTCTTTTCCTTTTAATAGCTGAACACGCCTGGTACATGCGTAACCCATCTCCAGTTAATGAGTTAAATTGAAGGTCACATGAATACGGATTCAATGAGGTTGAATTATTAAATTGCAAGTCAATAACACATCAGTGATGTTTTTGAGCTTATTTTGACAAATTTGGGCCAAACTTTGACTGCTCATAACACAATCTTATTTCAAAATTCCGCTTTTGTTTCTACTTGAAACAACAAGAATCGTATTTAAATTTTTCGTCTAAATCATAGTTAATGCCCCTTTAAAGTTTAGTATTCTTATAAAATTGGTAGAGTTGTTTAGTCATTGTACTTCTGCCGAAAACCCACAATCAATTCATTGAAGTGTAAATTGATAAAAATAAGCATACTTAAAACTCCACTTCATACCTTCTATGAAAGTTTTGCTTACATATGTTTATTGTAATGAGATATGGTATTGACACTGAACCTATCATTTAATTACTACGGAGACTTTACATCATGATACATTTTCTGTAAAATAAGTTTAAACACAGTAATTGTAAAAACATAGTAGAGTTGTTTTGTCATTGATACAACATCAGTGAACCAATTCATAAATTCAACTCTCGACCTCGTAACTTAGTCAAGTTGTGCCGTTCGCAGCGTCCTCGTTTGTGGACAAATTATTACATTTTTGTAACTTGTGACACAATGTTGTACCCCTAATGCAACATATTTTTCTAAATCACTAGTCTATGGTATAAATAGGATTGAAAAGTTAATGAGGAATTTTTTAAATTATATTATTGAAAATAAAAAAAATCACTATTTGGTACGAATGGTGTTCTCTGTAATTTGGGCCAATGAAAAAAAACATATGTCATAAAGATGTTTCCCGAGAATTTTGGCTCAAAAGAAGCCTATTTCATTGGCAGTTCCCGAATATGATGTCACGAGCTACAAAATTTCCCGAACTGAAAAGTGACTGTCCGAACTTCCCCCTCTGTCCGAACATCCCTTATTATCCCGTTTTACCCTATATGTGTTTGAAGAGAATGTCTTGTTATAATTTTAATAGTACAATATAACTCATTTGAAAAATTGGAGAAAAATTCAATTTATGAATATGTCTGTATTATACCTTTAAACGGATATTATTGTAGAGAAATTGATTGTTTAGCTTACCAAATGACTGAAGAGATATTTATTGTCGAAAAGCGCATCTGATGTAGAAAATTTGGTACCGTTAATGTTATTACAAAACTGAACCAGTTACTTTCATTTTGTACATCTAGATTATAATGTGTTTCTTCATTCACTTGTTTATCGTTAACATCATACACACATTTCAACCTTTCTTAATCGATTAACAGATAACTCATCCACTACAACTCTGAGACCGCCTACAACCAAGAGGCCTGCAACTTCATGTAATAAAAATGGAACCAATTATGTGATCGGTTCTGAAATACGAGGAAACAATAGTTGTGATAAATGTATTTGTGGTTATTATGGACAACATTTGTTCCCAACATGGAACTGTTCACCAGCAGTGCAATGTCTTTGGTTTCCTTCAAACTGCACAAATATTACGACTGTGGGATGCTGTCCAACCTGTGCCGGTAAAATGCAATATAAATATGCTAATGTTTATATATAGCACCATTTAAAGAGTCACTATCGCATAAATGTATGCATGCACTTCGCTTCAATAATCAATTTTAATCAAAAGTCAGGAAGCTACAAAGAAGAATGAGTTAATCAACAAATGATTTAAAAGATGGTTATTAAATCAAAATGTATTCGTATTCATATTGTATACATGTCTAGAAATAATAATCTGGATCTGTACGCTTTCAAAATTCAAAGAGGTTTCTGAATAATCACATAAAATAATAGAACGTACAATTCGTTGCGTTTTCTTGCGAAAGGCAGACACCTAGAATGAAAAAAATGTTGTTCGAACGTCACGTGCAAATGCAATATACATACTGTGGATTCATGATTTTTTAATGTGTACCAATTTCAGTGAATAGATGAAAACTTGCATTTTCGTGGATATTTTATTTCATTGTTTTACTTAAGTCTCCAAACAAGCCTACAGAAAATGTGTAACTCGTTGAATCTCTAACTTTGTGGGTCACTTGTACCACCAAAAGCCGCGAAAATTTGTATCCAACGAATAATAACAAATCCACAGTATGACAAACAAACCGTTCCGTAAAGAAAGTAACAGTTATGTCTCTTTTATTGACAACTCTAACATAATTTATGCAAGTGAGTTGTTCATTCCTATTGACTTAAGTAAAGTATATCGATCAATAGATAACACCAAAGCTACTACTGTGAAACCTCCTACAACAAAGAAACCGGAACCTTCTTGTGTCGAAAATGGAAAAAATTATAAGGTCGGCTCAGAAATACACATGAACAATGGTTGTGATACATGCATATGTGGTTATTATGGAAAAGATTGGTTGCCAACATGGAACTGTTCACCGACAGTCCAATGTCCTTGGTTTCCTTTCGACTACACATTACATTTGTTGGATGCTGTCCACTTTGAACCGGTAAAATGCTTTGAACGTTTATGATAAAAATAAGTTTGAAGAATCGGCATTATAGTTAAAGGTTGCATTTAAAAACAAGAACAGTAATATGTTCAGTCCCGTAGCCAGAATGTGTCTGAGAGGGGTTATGTGGAGTCACGACGCTTTGAACTCAATCTGAATCCCGACTTCAATAGTCTTTCATGTATTTTTTCGTAGGGGGGGGTTCGTCTCCCGAATACCCTGGCTTCGGGGTATGATATTAACAGCACTATTAACATACTTATTATGTTTTAAGATTGGAAATGATATTGACTAGTGGAAATACAGCTTCCTATTAGTGACGTAATCAGTGACAACAAGTTGTTTTCAATAGTTAATCAAGATTTGCTATACAATAAATTCAGGCTACAATAATTTACCGATGTTCAAATTGAAGATATAGATCAAAGTAACATACAAAGACTGAGGGAATAAATAAAAGGGTTACTGCATGAATTTTGGTGAATATTATCCTTCGTAGAATATATACTGGAGTTGCAAGCTTGTATCTTACAAGATAACAATCTACTCAGGACACTATTCACTAATAATATAGAACTAATAATATGCTTATAATGCTGAAGAACTAATACGTGGAAAGAGTTGGAATTGTGTACTTTTACTTTACTGCTTTTAAAAGCAAATTCAATACCAATAACAAATGTCTTCTCTGATAATTAACAAAACTACAATTATAATTCTATGAATTCTTGATAAAAAAAAACTTTCCGTTTTTTGATTTTCCTTACAAATTAATACAAATACAAATGGATATGGATATATAAATTATATATATTTCTGTCAACACTACACTTTGTTAATTCATTAATAACCATTGTAATTTACTTAAGCTGTATGACAAATCAAGACATATTTTTGAATTAAGGATAAGGGATGGCCAATTCGATATTCGAGGGGGGATGGTTGCAGGGGGATTTTTTGCGGATCGAATGTTCATTTTCATCAGTAGATACTCATGCTTATTACCTTTTGTGCACAATTATATCCTGCATTTTGTTTCCAGAATATTAATTTTCATCCTGATTAAACCGAGATAATTAATTTTCAGTTCTAACCAGGCAAGGGTATTCATTTCCAAAATCTTTCTACTCCAGAAGTAAGATCAATGATTTTAACAATAACTGTATAGTTATAACCTGTATCAGAAAGTATATTAAACCAAAACGACAGGATTGGTGGCCATAAATAAATCAAAGCTAATGATAAAAAGAATAGCTGGATAGGTCTTCAATGAAGATAGCACTTACTAGTTTGAGAAAAAAAAAATAACTATTTTGTAATGCTCTATTTTTCAAAGCAAAGTTCCACTCGTATTTTGACATTTCTTCATTTAGGACTTAAATTTTTAGCATTTGTATAACAGAAACTGTATTGCTGGTATTGTTTTTATAGATGTTCCTACAACAAAAGCTCCAACAACAACCACAACTCCATTACGTAGTACTTGTATAAAGGACGGAATCGAATATCCCGAAGGTTCTGAGGTTGCCAGCACGGATAACTGCAACTCTTGCATTTGCATTAAAGTTGAAAAACAACATCCGGAATGGATTTGTAGAGGTGTTGATTGTCCTCCGCTTAAATGTGAATCACAGAAGTCTATTACCGGGCAGTGTTGTCCTGTCTGTGATGGTAAACGAAATACATTATACCTAACAAAATCCCTCTTTTTATTTCTTCAAGGTTTGTTTTCTTCCTCACCTGCTTCAGACAAGTACCATATTGAAAAACTGTTCTTTCTCAGATAGATCGAAGTATTTTGAATTTGCGCGCATTTGGTATCAAAATGTTGCAATTGCACGAAAATCAGACATTTTCATTCACTGGCATTCTATATGATTTGGAATATCCTTTAAAAAAGAAACAGGAAAAGTTAATCTCAACAAATAGAAAATAGTATGCAATAAGGGTTTATTGACACAACCCTATTATAACAAGGATATTAATTTATTTTTTTCTGATTTTGACAACAACTAAAGAAAAACAACAAATTTTGTGAAACGTTAATTGCTTTAATATGGTTGAAAGTAAAAGAGCTAAATTCGGATTAAGAGTGTTATGGTGGTTACGAATATTGAAATTAAATACTGAAATATGGAGTTCAGAGAGTCATAAATGAATAGAAAAACAATCATCATTATATTCAAATGTCGCCGCACCATGCACACGTGTGAAATGCCCGACAATGAATGAACTGAGCACTCTTGAACATTTTTATATAATGTAATGTGTAAATGAAATAAACCATAAGAATACAGGTTGTCTGAAGGAGGCGAACAGTGAGCCAGAAATCAGTATCGTCTGTACACTTTCTGTGGACACATTATGTACTTCTATTGAAATGGAATTCACTCTACCAATTGAACAAAATTATCGATGAATGATATATTATGATTGGATTAGCAAATTAAAAAGAAAATGGATATAAATGATATATTAATTATCTGGTCTGATTCTGAAAAAAAGCAAAGTTGTATGAAATATTTGACAAAAAGCGACAACTTGAAGTATAAAAAGAGGGAATGGAATATACGAGTTGTCCGTTATATTACATATATATATCTAAATAATATGTTTTCTTATCTTGCAACTTATTTAATTTAATATTGATCAAGGTACATAGATGTATGCAAGTACATTATTGAAGTTGATAATGCACATGGTCCATAGCTGAATATATGAGCATTATTTTAGTTTTTACGGTACATGGTCAATAGCTGTATGCATGGACGTTATTTAAATTTTATGGCACATGGTCCCTAGCTGTATGCATGCATATTACTCAAGTTAAAATACACATGGTTTATAGCTGTTTACATGCGCATTATTTAAGTTGATAATGTACATGTACATATCTGTATGCGTGCACATTATTCAAGTTAATAATGCACATGGTCCATAGCTGAATACATGAGCATTATTTATTTTTTTATGGCGCATGGTCAATAGCTGCATGCATTCCATTATTCAAAGAAGATACTAAAGCACTCATCGAATATTTGCTTTATTTCCATATGTTATATTCATTTTATAATTTCATCAATGACTTCTTACAGATTATAACAATTCATTGAAACTCTGTAGTTCATTTGTATCGTATAACCGTCAATGGTATGAACACCGCTATGAAATCCCCTATACTATTTTGGTAATTGTTGAATAGTTTATTTTGCTACAGATATGAAATGTAATCCTTCATTGTATTTTAACAGTATTTTCTCCAGTCTTAGCAATCTTTATAGACTGTTTCTTTAGTATTTAGTCTTGACCACAGTCTTAGCAGCCTTTCTATGTTGTCTCTTAAGTATTTAGTTTTTATATTGTGCTTCAGGATTTACAATTTTAATCCTAAAATATTATAACTGATTTGACTTTGTCTTCGGAATTGCAAATTTCTAGTTCTAATTATGTTCTCGTTAACACATAATTTTGCTGTTACGCGATTATTGACTCTACCTTTCTGTATCTACTCCTTTTCATAACACTTAATTTAATCCTTCGGATGAATGCGAAAAGCGTTGTCCAATTTGTTAATGCAAAACAAGTATGTCATTTATTCATTTATTAAATGTATCTATTTTTATATAAATGTAGATAAACCACCAGATGAATGTGGACCCATTTGTAAAATGTATTGTAAAAATGGATTTCAAACTGATGAGAGGGGTTGTCCACTATGTATATGCAAATCAAGTAAGTTTTTCTATTCCAATATATTAAAAAGTAAAGTCAATAAGTACATTGTAAATAAAAGAAGAAACCATACCGTATTTTTTTAGTCAGCTATAAAATGTCTCCTTAAATATTCAAACTTTAGAGACTTCATATTTCATAGCCATCGTCACTACACATTAAAGAACGAATGCCTTAACCCTTTGAACGATATCATACCTTTAGTGTACATCTGTGTAAATTTTTACTTTGTCTCGTTAGCAACAACCACAACACCAGCTCCAACGAATATCAGTCAAAGCTGCATATATGACGGAGAAGTTTACCCCAAGGGTCACCATATCATGAAAACAGACTGTATGATGTGTACATGTCTTTCGATTTACGAACAGAAACCAGACTGGAATTGCATGATTAACGATTGTCAACAGCCAAAATGCAGCAATCCAGTCAAAATCCCAGGTCAATGCTGTCCCGTTTGCCCTGGTAAATAACTATCTGCAAAAACAAAAAGTTAATGTTTACCCCTTCAGCAACTGTTGTGACTGTATTTTACAGTCCTTGCAAATGATTTTGGTTTTCACACGTTTTATATATTTCATACAGAAAACACATTATTCAAATTAATGCCTTATTATGACAAATTGACCGTATATAAAGAGGAAATGCAAATCTTCATAATGATTCTTTTGTTATTCTAATGCAGCTAAATCAACATTTTCCTAGCTTTTCTGCCAGATTCTCACATTAACAATATGATTACATATTCAAATTACGTAAACACTCTTCATCTAAGAAACATTTTCACAATGGATATAAGATTAAACATGGTGATCGAATTGTTTCCATAATTTTATTCGATCAGAGACCATAGTTGTTTAACTAAAGTTATTATATATACATTTTGTACTTAATAAACTGACTACACTTTGCTTGCTTGAAAGTTGCTTTTTTTATTTGCACCTTGTTTGCTTTGGTCTTTTGTTTCTTAGCAACATCCACACTGGCCCCAACTACACCTAAATCATCAACGTGCTCCTTCAATGGTACACAATATCAGCACAGGAGCACCGTTAAACAAACAGATTGTAAAACATGTGTATGCCAATACCAGTATGGAGGATATTTAAATTGGTCTTGTAGCATAGAAGCCTGCGTCTACTGTGCAAATCCTAGAATGATTCCAGGACAGTGTTGTCCGATGTGTAATGGTAAGCTTAAGATCTCGGTTATTCAAGACATCTGACGTTAAATGCTTAATTCTTCTTGTCGCTCTTAAATGCTAATCATTTTAAATTTATTGTCGGTATTTCGCATGCTTTTCTCTTAGTATAGGCAACCAGACAGTAATAGAATTAGGAAGTCTGTTTAAATTTTAATCATAACCTTAGTTGATCTTTAAAAGCTTTCATTGATATTCCAACTGATGTGGTTGAATCATAAATGGTAACACCTTCTGTACATTACTTATTGCTCTATCCAAATAGATACATATATATATACTCCTTACAAAACACCTTCTGTACATTACTTATTGCTCTATCCAAATAGATACATATATATATACTCCTTACAAAACACCTTCTGTACATTACTTATTGCTCTATCCAAATAGATACATATGTATATACTCCTTACAAAACACCTTCTGTACATTACTTATTGCTCTATCCAAATAGATACATACTTCTTACAAAACACCTTCTGTACATTACTTATTGCTCTATCTAAATGGATACATACTTCTTACAAAACACCTTCTGTACATTACTTATTGCTCTATCCAAATAGATACATACTTCTTACAAATCACCTTCTGTACAGTACATATTGCTCTATCCAAATGGATACATAGTTCTTACAAAACACCTTCAGACATTACTTATTGCTCTATCCAAATAGATACAAACATCTTACAAAACACATTCTGTACATTACTTATTGCTCTATCCAAATGGATACATACTTCTTACAAAACACATTCTGTACATTACTTATAGCTCTATCCAAATGGATACATACTTCTTACAAAACACCTTCTGTACATTACTTATTGCTCTATCCAAATGGATACATAAAAAGTTTCAATAATCCTGTTTCTATGTCTTGCTTGTTATTCTTAACATTTTGTTTTTCTTTTCTTAGGAACAACACCTCGACCAACGACTGTTCGACCTACTCTTCCTCCGAATACTGGTAAGTGATATATCATTTGTCTCTCTCTCTCTTATGTTGTAGAGGAAACATGAATAGTATTTGCATAAAAGACATTTATATTAATAGCCGATGAATCAGGAATAAATTACTGCAATCCCTTATTAGAAAGTAGAGTCAAACTCATACTCATAATTTTAGAGCAAATATTTTTAAAGCGTTCACTTCATTTAAATTGAGCTTTTGTTTATATTCTGTCATCATTGTCATTTTATAATAGTATTTACTTAAAGACCATATGCTGATAACCGTTTTACTGATTGGAAATACTTTCCATTCGTAATCACATGTTTCTTTCTTAAGGTGGTTCAGGCTATACAATAAAAACTTTAGAAATATATTTTTGAATATAAAAACATCACAGCCTTGTTTGTTTTTATATTACGTCATGGATTTTCACTGCTTTAAACCTCAAGAATTTCAAATGAATTAAAATAATTTTATAATTTTTTTAGCCGATTATACTGACGTGTATGTTAATTGCGCTTACAAAACAGTAGATTAGTTTGTATTTATAATTGTAAGCAGCTACATCGTTTCATCCTGATTCATACAAAACGGTCCTCTCACTTTTTTTTCTTCTGGCAGACTATCTGCTGATGTACATTTTTTTTATGTGTAACACTTGTTTAGCGCTAATTTAAAAATTTCAAGCAGTATTCAATGTCTATTGAATTCACTGTATGTTTGCGTAGTGAGGTACATGTTTGTATGTCTACGTGCATAATGCACTAACTTAAGTGTTTACGAGATAAACTTTAAACTTTGTGGGTAAATATAAAACGCAAAATGTAGAAATACCTGCTTTATACAACTTACTCGTTCACATGATATGGCTTTTTCGATTGAATTGTCGACCTTTGTTTTTATTTGGCAATGCGTAATTAAACGAATACACAATGTAAATACTTGAAATTCATGAACAACATTTGTCATAGATAAAGCATATGTAGTTAACTTAAAAAAAGTAAACCAAGCTAACTATAACTTAGCAGACATTTTAATTTTCAGGACCTTCGTTCAAACATTGTCCAAGTAATACACTGATTATCAATACTCATAGAGAAAAGTTTATCAACATTCGTAGATCTGTAAACCTGACTGTTGTTGACAATTCTGGAACAAGATACACGATTCGGTATTCCAAGGAAATTATCGAAGCCATTCCTTGCTCCTGCGGCAAAAACATTCATATTATTACAGCCCAGTCTGATCCACCAGATCAATATGGGCGATTTGCATCATGCCACATCACAGTTCATGTTGTCGGTAAGTTGTTATTAAAATACTAAATATATTATAGGTCTAATTCGTTACAAAGAATGCAATCTTCCAACGATTGCGAATTAAAATGTGGGTAATTAGGAATTAAATTCGTAATACAAAATTCATAATAAGGAATTGAAAATCTTTATTTATAGGCCCGAAATGATCTTTATGAGATTTTCTCATCACTTGGCGTCCGTCGTCGTCTGTAGTCTTTAACTTTTACAAAAATATTCATCTCTGAAACTACTGACCCAAATTTACCAAACTTGACCACAATCATCATTAGGGTATCTAATTTAAAAAATGTGTCCGATGACCCCGCTTGCCAACCAAGATGGCCGAACTGGCTAAAAATAGAACATAGGGATAAAATGCAAGTTTTGTCTATTATCTTGTAAACCACTATAAATAGAGAAAACCTGACAAGGGCAAAAATGGTTGGAATGATGAGATCTACCTATTGCCTATTTACTTCCAAACTATCAGAAGACTTTTTATAAGAGTTATTGCCCTTAAATGGCGAATTTTACTAACTTTTTTAATTTTTGCCTATTATCTTAAAAATTATAATAGATAGAGAGAAACTTTATACAGCAAAAATGATCAGCAATATAAGTTCTACAAATAAGTTAACATGAATTCCAATCATCTGATGACCTTTTATTGGAGTTAGTGCCCTTTAATGACGATTTTTACCATTTTTTTGCGTGTTTGTCTAATACCGAGAAAAGTATAATAGATAGATAGAAACTTAAATAGGCAACAATGATCAAGACAAGATCAACCAATAAGTCAAATAGTTGAAATCGTCTGACGCCCCTTATTGGAGTTATTGCCCATTCATGATGGTTCTGACCAATTTCTTGCGTTTTTGCATTATATTTGAAAAACTATAATACATAGACAGAAACTTAAATAAGCAAAAATGATCAGCAAGACAAGATCTACAAATAAGTCAAACATGGTTTAAATCGTCTGATGACCCCTTATTGGAGTTGTTCTCTTTAATAAAGATTTTTATCATTTTTTTGTGTTGTTGCCTACTATCTGAAAAACTATATTAGATAGATAGAAACGTAAATAAGCAAAAATGACCAGCAAGACTAGATCAATAAAGAAGAGATTTTTATCATGAATTCTATTCTAGTCCACAAAGATGGAGAGTATCCATTGTTGAAGATGCACATAGACCTAGGTGAGCGATACAGGCTCTTTCGAGCCTCTAGTTTTAATTATTGAACATTATTCATTATAATGGGTAAGTATTAAACAACAGTTATTGAGAATACTTTATGCAAACATTCTGTCCTTGATGAATAGACTAATTTTACTTGTTCTTACTAGTATTGTCATATACAAATCTGAGTGTTTATGAAGTTTGTGTAATCAATATTAAGATAGCGGAATTGTTGATGTAATAAGCCGTTTCAGTAGCCTGATATCTAGGCCCAAGCTCTGCCTCGCATAAGTAGTTGACTGTCAAGCAGTCAGCTAGAATCCCGTCTCAGAATCTAACGGATTATGGGCAATTCCATTATTTGTACACCAAAGTGAAAATATCATACACAATTCATCGAAAATACATTGACTCAGATGTTTTCAACTAATCTCAACGTTTTGGTGTACGGTAATGAAATGGTGAAGTGGATTTATTTTTTCGCTTTTTTTGTCTTTCTTTATAGCATATTTTGTACTCTTGGAGTTGTTGTCTCGGTGACGTATACTCTCACATCTATTTTTACATTGGGCATTATACTTGCAGACAACCATCCACCAATGTACAGCACATGTCCATCAGAAATTTCTGCATTTGAGGACGAAATTATTAGCTGGGACAAACCAGAGGCTTCAGACAACGTTGGCATCAAATCAGAAAGGTTCATTTCGGATTATGAAAACAATAGTAAATTTCCAGAAGGCTCACATCTGTTAATGTATGTTGCTGTGGATCACGAGGGTAATGTCGGGGCCTGTCGTTTCCTCGTAGCTGTCTATAAGAGAGGTAACGAATATGTTCGAAATAATCTTTTGATATCTTCTTGATCATTTAGGTTTGCCAATTTTATTGTATCCTTTTAAGTTAAGTCTATCATTGAACTTTTACATTAGGCAACTTCTAAGATATACAATATTCACGTTAAATATTTTTTAACCTGCCCAATATGGACCTTTTCGAACCAAAATTTGCTGACAATATATAAAAAAAATAGTTAATGTATTTCACTTCTGAATAACAAATTTCGATCAATTAATCTAAATATGCGTGTTTAAATTTTTTTTTCATCATTTATAAACAACATCTTAAGTTTATTAATCCATTTGCGATACAATATTTAACTTTGATTTTGATTTTTAGGAACATCAGATCCCACTATGCCTAATCAACTAAAGAGAGAGGATGAAGAAGATAAGAAAAATCTAATTATATGTAAGATACGCTAGTGGTCTAGTAGTCTTCAAGTCCAAACTAAATACAAAATGAACTTAACATTCCAGTCATTAGTATACATCCTGCAACACAAGTTTTTCATAGTACACATTTTAGAGGTCCCTATACAGACCGCATAAAATGACATGGTCTTAAATCTCCCCAAGAGCAAGGATTTTAATTGCAGAAATGAAATCTCAGTCGAGAGTTTACCTGTATAAGGATGTGAATAAACACAATGGAGACGACCGATTGCTTAATCACCAACTCCCAAGTAACGACAAAAATGAAATTACAGCGATTAAATCTCATAAAGTTCCTGACTTTGAATGTTGCATATAAGTGTGGTTCATTGTTGTGTTTGAATATGTATAAAAGAATGAACGAACTAGATCTGTAAGACTGAGAAAAGACTATATATATAAATAATAATACACAATTGAGATTTGATAAACTGTCCGAATGGTCTTTATATTAATCGACTTCTACCAATAAAATCAATAAAAGATGCCAGCACTAGCTCTTTGTCACCTGCTAGAGTTGATTTAATTGGTTGTTTCTGTTTTGTCGCTCATTGAAAAATATTTGCCAAATTTGTTAATTGGTGTTGCTACTGGACAACGAGAGTTTCTTTGATACATGGAGTGCTTTCTTTTTTTGTTATTGTGCTTTTATGGCTTAAACATTTTAAAATAAAGACTTGCAAAGATGAAAAAGATAAAAAAAAACCTACAAAATGAATACTAAAAGAAAGGCGAAAGATATCAAAGGGACATTCAAACTCATAATTTGAAAATAAACTTGACAACGTCATGGCAAAAAACGAAATAGACAAAAAGACAAACACAACATAGAAAATTAAAGACTGAGAAACAGGAAACCCACCAAAAACCGTAGTATCCAAAATGTGATAAAATCAGCACTACAACACCAAAGTTCAGTAGACTAATGAATAAGCTTATTTGCATAAAGAAGGCTGTAAAATTTACTTATTTCAAAGTAGTCAAAATTATATGTGTGTGTGTGTGTGTAACACGATAAATGCTAAATAAAAAATAAAAATTCTACTTTGCAGTGCCTGTGATTGGTGTATTAGCAGTATTGATTCTTATGATAGCAATTATTCTAACAGCATTATGCTGTCGTCGACTGAAGAAAACACAGAATGCACGTCAAACCGAAAGTGAACGCAATGCTTATGACAATGCTATCTACGCAACTGCAACTCCACCCAGAACTCCTCCCCCATCTTACAGTAAAACAGATGGAATGAAACTTCCACCAAAGTACATTGTAGGAGATGAAAAACCACCTCTGTATGAAGAAATGGATGTCAAGGTGTTCATGAAGAAGGGTGTACAGAATCCCGTCTACGACTCTTCCGATGAACTAGAAGTCGGAAATATAAAACTGAGAATGAGAGAAGAGGCAGATGCTTAAGTTTGAAGTCAAACGAATGACATTTACCTTATAAATTTTGTAGATATTATAGGTAGAACTATACACTTTTTTACATTAGTGCAAACAAATTCCACTTTTTTACTGTAAAAGACTTTTTGTGTGTTCATTTTTCAAGTATTTGATTTAATATTATTTAATATTTTTTGCATCGATAAAACAACTTATCCAAATTCTACCTGTTTATGCATTTGTAAGAGATTTGACGAAATTTTATTAAATACATTTTATCATACTGTATAAATGACAAGTAAAATTATTTAAAAAGATGATATCTGACATTTCTTTATAGTTTGTGTTCTATCTGTCGTGTATATAGCATGTAACAATATTTTCGAAATTACATTAACCCAAAATACCCAATATAACCTCCTTGCTTTGTACAAAATGTAATAGATGTACATATATATGCAATAGCCAGGTAATTTTTTGACATTTCACTTTAAGCCTAATAAATTCAATAAAGTGCACTAAAATCATAAATGGTTAATAAAAACGTAGGTAAGACTGCTTAAAGTACTATACCCTTAAATGCTGAGGAATTGCAACAATTGGCCAAACAGAATGATTTATAGCAATTATTGAAATGATGTGATACAAATGAAGCGTTTTCAAATTTTTAAAGGAATTGTTCGATTATCACGAAACACACTAATATTAATAACATTACCTGATTACATACAATATTTCAAAAACCAATTTTATTGTTATTTTCTGCTTACACACATTATATCTATATATCCCAATTTAATATTTTGTTACATGTTTTTATCTGATACGTTGTTGTAAATTGAAGACATCTGGTATGTCTAAAGATATTGTGCTTTGAGAGCAACATTCTTGTTAAAGTTTTAATAATTTGTTGTATACTTAATGTGTATCTATATTTTTATCAAATAAAATCACCAAAAAATATTCTTTAATTGATTCTTATACAGGTAAATAATTATTTTTTAAAATGTGGTTGTAATTAAACCCCGGCATTGCAAGTCTCCCTGCATACGTGTTTGCTGAACCATCTTTATCGGCTAAAAACTCATCAAAATTGGCCCTTCTTCAATGGGTAGCATTCAGTTCTATGTATGCCGGCTACGCCACTGAAGAATTTCAACATGCATAATAATGCGATAACAACTAAAAACCATAAATGTTAAGCATACAGTAATAAAAGTATATTTGACATGTATTATCCATTTCTCTTATATACTTACTGAATTGATCTTGAAAAGGGAACAGAACATATAAAAGGGACAATAAAACAATCAGTCGAAAAGAAACCGTTATTTCCATGGCAAAAAAGAAAAACGACGCAACAATCTATATAAAAGTCCACAAAAAAATAAGGACTGAGCAAAGAAAACCCAAAAATAATCGTGCCGATCTCAGGTGCTTCGAAAAGGAAAGCAGATTCTGCTCCACAAGCGGCACCCGTCGAGTTGCACATGGCAAGTAAAAAATCGGGGATAAGTCTCATTCCGCTGCAATTTGACCAAATCCTTGGTCATCTGAGACACAGATATTCCGATAACGGCCCACCGAATCATGATGCGTCCGTAAAACTTTGGAAAGGATGACTTCATATTTACCACTAGAAACCCTTATTCTAAAAGCTTTCTTGTTAGCAGAAAACCTTTGTCAAGAAAATCGTGATAGGAAACGCAAGCTCTGGACTATAACATTAACTGGGAGATATATACTATATATGGAGGCGCTGCTGTGCTATTGCTACATATAAATTGAAAGTTCCCAATAGGAAAGCTGAAATCATCTCTTTTGTAGTAAAGTTTAGTTCTCAACCGACCCTTATTGTCAATTTCCCGACATACGGCAGAGTTAACTAGTTGTGGTATATATCCTTTACTTCAAGTTCGAAGGGATACATGCGCGTACAACATAGTCCCCAAAATTTGATAGCTGAACATGAAGATAAAGGGTAATGCTAGCCCTTTAAATTCTTCTTGACAAGCCCTGTATGTAGTCTGTTGTTGATAACGAAACAAATAGGCAGGAAGAAAAGCTCAGTTGACTCCCATAGAAGTGCCGATTGTCTGTTGAAAAACATGCCCTCCAAACATAACACATATGTTGTCTATAAAAAGATCAAGTATCTTTATGATGTCAAATTCAAAGATTTTTTTTTACTAAGATTAACTGGTTTACAAAGTACTTAAGTTCCGTAGAGTTTTGAAATGTCTCTTCGTTGGACAATGCAGAAATACGTTCAGTTATTGTCATTTATATAAGCACAAAGAACAAATTTAATACCATTGATATGTATTTTTCATAATCTGTGTAAATCGCAAATATTCCCTTTATTTGCTAGAAACTTTGTGTCATTATCAAAATAGCGTTTCTATCTATAAGTTGAAATAATTACTTGCACATGCAAAATCTTCTATTTTCTGTTTTTACAATAGAAATATAAAGGAAATAATGTGAAATAAAATGGAATAAGAATTCTATAATTGTTTAACCTTTAAAAAGTGTCCGTGCAATAATTTTGACTGTTAATGGGGTTTTATTTAAATTGACAAATGGAAGAATTGCGATGTCTTCTCTGAAACAAAAAGGAATACATAACTTATGGTGTTGGTAATGAAAGTAATATGTTATAGAAGTTAAATGTTGGAAAAGATACAAGTAATCATAATATTGTTAATTCATATGATGGATATTAAAGAGACAAATGAGAACAAAATTTTGGATATGTTGTAACATTGACCTCAAATTGTTTAGGACTTGGCATAAATTACAGTTAAATATAAAGTAATGATCATCGACCCGAAAAGACCCGGGGAAAGAACAACGGACAACAAAACAACAAACTTATTTTCGGGGATGCATTTTCTCGTTTCGAACTGTCAAGCCCACATCGCTTTGATTTATTTTCGCGATTCATGTCAGAATAGAATCAGTTTTGACCAATTCGTGACGATTTATAAAAGCGTTATTTTTCTACTGGCGAAAGGTGCATAAATAAAATTCGCTATTCTACATAATGTGTTTAGATTCCAAGACATTTTAAGTTTTTTTTGTAGATATTATCGAATTATCGTATGATACCAATCAAAGTTTCTTGAACTAATTTCGACAGGACTTGACACATGTTACAAGGTTTAAAGTTTAAATCTACAAAGTCTAGATACAAATACACTAAATAAAATATTTGTGATGTTTGCATTGCTTATACAAATACAAGGCTGATATATATGATGTCATATTTTAAAATACTTTATATAACACAATCCAAATGTTTTCCAAATTGTTATCTATTATACTACTTCAAAATTATTGTACTGCTGGAACTTCACATTTATTGCTTTATTAAAGGTTATGTTAACTCACTTGGGGACTATCTATCTACCTTTAACTAATTTCACATGGTATTCCTATCTGTTGAAGGGACAGTAGAATCACGCTTTAGCTTCAAAATATTTGGGTTAAAAAAAAATCTTTGAACATTATAGTTTCATCAAACCCATCTTTCGTTGATTTTTCCTTCACATTTTGATAACAAAATCAATTGTAATCTGCAATGTCTAATTGGTTAGTTCCTATATATTTCTAGGAATATGATTGGTTAAAAGGGACCGCGTCGAGACCCTGTATATTTTAAAATACGGAGTTAGTGGGCGTCTTTTATTTTAATACATGGTTAGTAATTGTGTTACGTCCCTTTTTAAAAAAAAAACAACACGCGTTCATGAAAATTCTGAAACGTTTCGCCTGGACAACAGATGAAGAAATTGATGATGAACGATTGAAAATAAATACAGAAAACATATTAAAAGCTAACAAGTTGTTTTTGTTGGCATTTGTTTTTGTATAGACCAATAGAAGTAGGTTCTTAATATTGAAGTCTTGATCACTTGGTCACTAGTCTAAATGCCACATGTCAAGATAGTAAGTAAAATAATTCGTTACACAGTGTGCTAGTGATCTAATATAAATGGGGTCAGTAAATTCCATATGGGTTGGAGCTTCGCTCTCACCCCAAATGAAATTTACTGATCCCATATATCGTATTTGGTCACTAGCTCACTGCGTAACTAATATGATCGATAATCGAATGATATACCGTGCCAATTAATACTTCGTTTATCGAATGTCTAATCCATGCCAATTAATATGCCTCGAAGGTAGCAAAGATGTTAGAAATGTTCATTTGGGACATTTCTGAGGTAGCACTTTCATAGAAAGAACTTCAACATGACGGCGGCAATAAACTTCCCGTCGTGCGATCTGGTGTGAGAATCCGAAAAAAGTTTTCATCTTTTCAGGATTTTTCATAAAACATGATAAAGGAGCATACGATTTCCGACCAATTTGCCTCTGAGAAGCATAGGATTTCTCGCAAATTTGTCGATTGATTACGAAATATGTGAAGTTAAGAAAGGCAAACATGCACAAATAACTTTCGGGATCTCATCAAGAAGCACCCGTGTCATATTACTTAGATAAGCAAATGACTATCTCTTTCAACGGTTAATAGAGATTGAAATCCATAGACGATCATCGGCTTATACATTTCATAATGATCTGAGGTGTTATAATATGTGTCTTGAGTGTATAGGTAATAAGAGTATGCAATTTTAATGAAGGAAGTTCCTCAACATCATACTTGATTTTTTTTATTAATATTTTCCAACTGGGCTATGCCTTGAGAGTATGTACTCATTTAAAAGTATTCATACACATATTGTAATGTAACAAATTAAATAATGTAAAAATCATAATAAAAAGCATATAAAAAATACCAAATTACAAATAAAGGCAAAAATAATATTGGTTATATAATTGGAGACTGATTTAAGTTTGGTGGTTGAAAGGACAATGAGAGGCAGAACATAGAACTGTTAGGAAGTAAAAGATACATACAAGAAACGAAAAAGAGAAATATGCAGAGTTATCCCCGTTTCTCCTTTTATTCATAATGTAATTGTATATCATACAGACTTTTGAGTGAAAATGTGTGTCAATAAATCTATCCGCAGTGTTTTAAAATACACATATTTATAAATACTGGGTAATGAAATTTGTAACGGTTTTAAAAACGTCATTACCCTTCAACTGCTGTGAAGCGCCACAACCATATAAAATCATGTGTTTTACCAGGTGACATGTACATATAAATAGAAAACCTTATAAAACAGATAAATACAGAAAGAACATATTCCTGAAGAAAATGGCGAAATTATTTATAATGATTATTGCGATCGTGTCAACTTTGTTGGTGCTAGCGGAAAGTAAAAGGTAAGACTATGAAATAATATTTCTAATGAATGATCAATTTAATGCACTATGGCGCGTTTGCAAGTTAAGGTAGCGGCAGGTAATTTGAACACTAAAGTGAATCAATTTATTTTATATATTAAGAAAACAAGGTTTTTTTCTTAATATTTAATCTGTTCGCATATAATAAATATAATTCATCATAGTAGTTAGTCTACATTTATATTCAAATTTCTTATATTACAGAATATTAAACTGATTTCAGTCGTTAAGTCTCTATGCTTTCGGTGAAGTATGGATGGCGGTCCTTGATTTCTTTAATTTGAAGGAAACTTTTCTTTATCTTTAAAAATAAAGCTTATCCTGTGAAATATTCGTGCAAATGATTTTACTATTACAATTTTCTGTAACTCTTTTATTCTGTACATCGTACATTTCTGTAATCAGTATTATATTACTCAATTCTTTTATTTTCCACTGTTATTCTCTATACTTTTGAACCCCATTCTCTATTCTTTATATTTTTGCTCATTTTTCTTTATTCATTATCTATTTTGGCCATTTTTTCTGTACACGTATCGTTCCGCGAAACACTCTGATTTTGTTCTTCCTGGTACATTGTAAAATAAAATCATAAATCACGTAACTTCTGTATGATTAAGATTATCCAGGAAGTACGCTCC